CAAAAAACGAACTTCATAACAAATAAGTTTCTTTAGCAGACTTAAGTCCAAATAAGTTCAAATAAGGGGACCAGCCTCGCCCAATGGTTTCTTGTCATATAAATTGATCACGTACAACAAAAAATAAGGATATTTGCGAGTTTTTTATTACAAAAAAGTTTAAGGGCCCTCTCAAAAAATTGGTAACAACTAACTTGTTTATAGGACTGATAGTCGAACAAGTTCGAATGAATTCGAGTCAAGTCTAAAAAACTTGTTTTTTTAATCGAACCTAAAAAATTGTTCAATTTTGATTTGTTTACAAAACGAGTCGAGTCTAAACGAACCGAATCTAAGTATTTACATATAAACGAGTCAAGTTTATCGAGTTCTAACTAAGCCTATCGAACTTGTTTTTTAAACGAATTTAAAAAATTGTTAAAGAGTGATTTGTTTAAATAACGAGCTGAACTTAAACGAACAAAAAACAAACCGAACTAGAGTAGTTAGGTTTGATTAATTGCACTACTTGTTCATCTATCTTTCTCTAAGATCAAATTTGACATGTCTCCCTTAGGGGTGTCCATTGGTTGGATTGCCCATGGATCTCGTTATTTGCCTTGAAAATCAATAGGTTCGACAGTCGACCGTTGAGCCCAAACCCAATATCTTTTAAGAGAAGATTTGAATTTGTCCTCAAACTCATTACTTGGCCCATGAACCCACCTACAAAAACCTGTTAAAAACTCGGCCCAAGAGCTCGTCTACCCTTCCACCTAATTGTTTGAAAAAAAATTGACTATCGAAACTTTGAAAGTTTGGTGACAATATATGACTTTATTTTGTTTAAATAAAATTATTTATTATTTATTTTTTATCCATTTTAATTATACTTTTAATTCAAATATATAATTTATAAAAATACTAAGTTAAAACTTGTTTAAATGAAATTGTATTATACATATAAAAGAAAAGGTCGTCCGCAAAAGCTTGTTCAATGAGTGACGGGTTGGGTTGTAGGTAACCTACCCGTACCCAAAACTCGGCCTAGCCCATCTGACAACTCCTTTGAGCAAGAGCTTGGGCCTACCCTGTCTAGGCTCGATTCAAAAAATATTTCACGGGCCTAACCCATAGACACCCCTAATCTCTCTAATAACCCCCCTCCCCCAATCTTTTCTCTCTAGCTACATAATCTATATCTATATCTATACTACTAATAAAAGTACCTTAGATAAAAACCTTTTGATTACCATTTTTACCCTTGAACAATCCTAAAAAGTCATATTTGCTATCCTCATCCTAATGTCTAAAGAGGTTATGAATGTATCAATTGCCAATTGGAATTTGATGTCTCCCAAGTTCTTTAACTTCATATGCTTCTCTTCTCGCTCTCATTCTCTCACAAACTGTGTGTGCGTAATCAGAGGTATAGCTTCACCGAGTAAGGATTGAACAACAATCTCTGTTCCTTTTTTTTAAGTAATCTATCAACCATAGATTTTGCTTGGTGCTATTAGTGATCTATCATAGTTATTGCATGCTGTAATTTTTCTTTAGTGATCTTTTTTTTAATGTAACTGCTCATGTTTTAAATGTCACATACTTTTTTTCATCATGCAATAACGAAACCAAGCAATTGCAGCAATTGTTCTTGTTGTCATACGATAAGTTAAAGATCAATGTTTTATATTATAATGAAACCTATGATTCAAGTAATTGTACTTTGAAGTACTGTTGTATTGTCCCTAATTGATTGGTCTATCTGTTATAGTTTTTGTTTTATAAAAAATTTAACAATGGCTGAAATAATGTGATTTCATTTTTTAATTCTAAAAAGTTCAATTATAAGCTTTTCTATTTTTTGTTGGTTTTTTTTAAATATATTATTATTTATTAAATGGCAATTTTTTCACTCGTAGGATCAAACCAAACTCGCCAATCATATTTAATATTAAATCAGCCACACCCGAATTCACAATTGATGTTGATTATTTTGCAATTCTTTGAAAGAATTTTAGGTAAATGCCTGCTATTTTTTACTTGGTTTTAACACTAAACTTGTGAAGGTAATCAACTGAGAACTCCCTTCGATTTGGTTCTATTTCTTTGGATGCTATTGATTTTGATCCAATTACATCTGCCTTTCTTGATATATATTGACATTACCTAAAGCAACCAAAACATTATGAGCTTTTAATTTTTTTTGTTCGTTCTCTCTACGTTATCGATATTCTAGCAATGTGAAAATTCTTATTGTAACAACATTCTTTACATTGAAATTCAAACTACAACAGAGTTTCTACACCCTTGATTATAGCATTTAACTTTTTTGGAGTTATAGAGTCATTGTCCTGGTAATTAAGGAAATAAGTGTAATTTAACAAAAACTTATCAGCATACGCTTAAGCAATAACAACTAGATGCATGTTTAAAAGATAAAGCAATAACTAGAAGAGGATTCTTCAATTAACTTATCAATGTTAATGTCACCATATATTCTTTTATTCATAAGTGTGTTTTTTAGTCTTTTTTGAACAATATTTTATAGTTTTACTTATTCTTATTTTTGGGAGTTAATTTGTTGTACATCAAGGAAAAGAAAAGAATTGCAAGTCTAGCCACACAACTCTATCCTTTCTCGCTTATGGTTTTGTGGACATATGTGCTCATTTTCTGGTTGTATCTCTGCATCACAGATGAGTGAAGACTACCTTTTGATCATAAGCCAACGGTCAAATAATTGATGCCACAATACATGCAGTCATTAAAATTTTTTAATACTTGATGATCCAATTCCATTTTTTAGGGCAGCTAGATAATCCGTGGAGCTGCATTACACTACAGAACTTTATTTTTTTTAAGAATGATCTCATGGAGGAATGTATATTCTTTGGACACATCTTCCATGATACTAATCAAGATGATACATTCCCAGAGCCTAGAGTCAATTGAGAGTGCTATGGCTTTTGTGTTGTTTATGCTAGCTTTAATCTTTATTTTTTGAAGGGTTATTTAGGATGACTTTATCATTTTTCTTTTAAAAATCTTGATTTAACAGTTCTTTGCCTTTTCGGAATGCTAGACAATTGATTTAATAACAATGCATCCATTAACTATTAGTTTCATCTATATTTTGATTTTGGGTGCTTTTCTTGGAACATTATACTCAATTGGAAAAGTCGGTCATGTCTATAATATTCAATATTCAATACACAAAATAACCTTAATAAAATAATTAATGTCTATCTTATCTTTCTGTAATTAATAACATTATTAAATTAAGTTAAATTTTCACAGTTATGTAGACTTTTGGGTTGACGACTATTGGCTTCCTATAACATACTTTGAATAAATCATCCATATTTTCAATGAATACACATAAAACCAGGTCAAGCTAATATTCCTCGAGGATGAGTTGGATCTATGCAGTGACTGTAGCTATACCTTCCTAAGCCAAAGAATCCTGAAATTGACAAATAAAGTTTCAAAAAACACATAAACTTCTCAATTCCTTTACCTTGGCAGTACAAATCTACACATTTTTCTTGTCATAAGAGAGCATGATTAAGAATGACTCATACTCTGTGCAAGCACCTTTTTTATTCTTTGTTTTGTGTTTTCCTTTGCTCTGGTTCATAGCCACTTCCAATCTACTTTTTATGTTCAAGACTTCTCTCTGTTTCATGTGCATACAAGTTCGTTGAATTGTGTTAAATTAGTCCAAATATTTCAGACTCCAGGGAACTCCATAACTTTGTTTCCAAAAGTGATTGCAAGCGCACATTTAGAAGAGTACTACTTGTTACATAAAATATCGGATAATACAAGACACATTGATATTGTTTGCAACAACACTATATAGCATTGAATATTTTATATAGTCTATACATAAATCACGCGTGCACTAACTAGTATAAAAAAAGAAAAAAACAATGAAATTTTAAATCAAGTAGGTTCTTTAGCTCTGAACATTAAAGAGTAAATTTAGTCTTACTGAGTTATAGTAACTATGGAGACTCAAATTCAAGCGTTAAATGATAAAATTTGAATTCTTATCTACTGTATCTAAGTTTCGGATTCGACGTAAGTGTGGTGGGCCCTTTTGCTAATAATTATGTGATACTGAGAAACAATACTTCTAACGAATATGTGGAATGTCTTACTCCGAACTTTCAATTATTGACACGACACGAACCGAACACAAAATTAATGGGTTGCACACAAAATTAAACAAGTCAATTGGTTAAAACAGGTCAACACGCTTAAACACGAAAAAAATCATGTCAAAATCAAGTTAACCCGATTTTAACTTGATTAACCCATATATTTTAAACGAGTTGGTATGATTCGGATACGAACCAGACCTAACTCATTGTAGATTCGTTTAACCCGTTTATGACAGTATAATTCTTAACATTATTATGATAGTATACTAGTATAATTTTTGCTTTAATTTTTGGATTGAAACTTAAAAGTATTTTAGTTAATTTCATTAATAAGATGTGATATGTTATTTGTGAAAAAATTATTTGAAATTTTGGATAAATGATTGAAATGTGTATTTAATGGTATGAACACGTGTGGAAATATGTTATGTGTGTTAAATAGGTTTGTATATTAAATAGGTTAATCATATCATTTTATGCATGTTAACTCAAAAAGAATCTGTTTAATAAATGTGTCAAACATGTCGAGTTCGGGTAACCTGTTTAAAGGTCAGATCAAGTTAGTATTTATACATCTCAACATGATTATTAAATATGTCAAGTTTAAATTTTGAAATTTGAAATTTGACGACACAAATTCGAAATCAACTTAATATGAAATAACTCAACCCGACACCTTTGACGCCTCTAATCTTACTTACATATAATATTATGTACAAAATAAAAAATAAGGGTATTCACGTAATAAATTGTATATCTAAGAAAGGATGTTCTCGTAATTTACTCAAAAATGATTTATTGAACGGAAAGAGAAAAAATGGTGTACATTCGAAAACCCTTTAGCCAACGGTTCCCATATTCTCCCACGTGGTAATGGATAAACTGTTTCCTTGCACATGAAACACCAATGGCTGTGGCTACTCTGGCCCTGCACTGCCACTGCTTGTTGTTCTCTTCCTCATCATCGAACAAGTCTATAACAAGATTAAGAACATGGCTTCCCAACGAAACACCCACTTTGAGTTCTTTACAGAGGTCTCACTTTTCACTCATCTCTTGTTCTTCTTCTACTTCCCCGCCGTCGCCGGAAGTCAGTACGCCGACTGCAGAGTCTTCCGTCAACTTGGGTCTCTCCCTCTTCTCCAAAGGACGGGTATTTTCATCATTCTTTTTTCTGTTCATCTTTCTCAAATTGAAAATCTCGAAGAGCCTTTTCTGGACTTGAGTACATTGAAATAACCTTAATTAAGGTTCTTATTATGCCCTCAAATTTATTTTCTATTATTCATCATTCATCATTCATCTTTCTCAATTTGGAAGTCTTGAACAGCCGTTTCAAGAACTAGGTACATTGAATAGCGGTAATTTCGTTTCTTATTATTTTCGGAGAAGCCTGAATATGGGTCCTCTGATTTTTTTGTGATCCATGGCCACCATATGTTATGATATGGATATTCACTCATACTTTGTCTGATTCTGCACCTTGTCTGTTTCATTTAACCCCACTCTGATGAAGTTTGTCCAGTTGTTATTTCACTTTAGTATTGTGGATATAGTTTTTCAATTGAGGACATGAAGATATTGTGGATTCGATGCAGCCATCTTGTAAAGAAAGTATCGAATTCTTTCTGACAAGTACCTGTTTGAATTTCCGAGATAAAGTATACCAACATAAGTACTTTTAGGTTTGATTGAAGGAACCAGGTCAGTTTGAAATTGATACAATCCAAAATTGCAGTGATGGTTTCACCCTGGATAAGGAGTCAAATGTGAAGTTTTCAATTGATTTGTGAAACATGAGTAGACAGAGAGAGTAAAACATGTATCCAGGCGAAATCCGTGTAACCACCAATTTTTAGCATGAGTAATCTCTTAGTGTCAAGGGTTGGAATCTTTGGGAGTTTAGTATAAGTGCACGAAATTTTTAGTGGAAATACGAGAGCACTAGATGGTGTTAAAAGATTAGCGTAGGGCAGAGCCAAGACTCTTCCAAGTAAGGCAACTGAAACTACACCCAGCAAGTTTAGTGGAGCTGTTAGCTAAGGTATAACAGCTTTATTCTGGGAAAGCAGATTAAGAATGGTTGAATTAAGTTTATAACTATTTTATAAATGTAGAAGCACCAGAAGATTGTATTTTGTCAAAAACAATTTCTTCTATTTCTGTCATTTGAGTAGCACAATCTGATTTCTTTCGGGAGATTAAATTTCAAGTATGAATTTTCCGAATCTGAAGGGTGCAAGATAAATGTGTATTCCATATTCGTTAAATTGCCAGGTTAAAGATGCTCTTGTTCAGTTTGATACAGCACTTACTTTGGATCCTAGTCCTATGGAGGCTCAAGCGGCTCTCTATAACAAAGCCTGCTGTCATGCCTACAGGTAGAATTCTACCGTTCCTTTTTCTTTATTCTGAAGTTTTGCTACAGATGTTGATATTGAAAAACGAGATTGAAGTAACTTAAGGGCTGTTTTTTAAAGTACCTTTTAGGAAAATGACTTTTCGTTGTACATGCTGTACATAAACTCGGTCTAATTTCAATTTAAGAATCGATGAAGTTTATTCTGCCTTTATTTTATTTTAACTGCACAGTGTGTTGCTATTGTACAAATAGCAATAGTAGAAAAATAGGCCCATTAGCAGGCACACTGCTCAACACATAGGAACAAAAAGACCACTTTGCATTTTGAGACATGCAAATAATCCCACCACAATCTATCCACCAGGCATTACAATTGACGTGGCAGCATAGTGCTTAGAACCCTATACAAATACCGACTCTTGTAGGTAGAATGATGCGTATTTATTGCAAAGTTCTGCATAAAGCAAATATTGAGGTTGTGGCTGCCCCCCTTGAAGGAGCAGCTTTTAAGGGAGTAATGCCTCTTTAGCTATCATATAACCATGCTTCCGAGTTCTTTGAGAATTCTGGGTAAATTTAGTCCAAATGATAAAGGCTTTGCTGCTATAATGAAGTTCCATGGACTATATACCTTAAAGCCTCAACTGGGAAAGAATTCCAAACAAACTGGTCTTCTTTAGCGAAATTTTAAGAGGTGGCAAATTATCCCAAATCTCACTTTGCTGCACATTTTGGGTTGAGGATGGCCTAAAATGAAGGAGAAAATAGAAACTACAAAGTCGACCGTGGCATCTCTATGGATTATAGAGCTTGCAACAACGTCATTCCTCATCTGCAAATCCAGCTCTACAACAGTTGCTAAGCACCAAAGACCTAATTAAGGTCAAGTTGATTCTTGTTGCAAAGTTAGAATGGTCATGGGCATTTAAGACCAGTCACAGATGGGACAACTGACTAGATCGTTTATTTCCCTCAATCACATTAGAAGTATGGAATGTTTTCCACGTGTGCTCCTTGCATTACCTTGTCATTCTCCCTTATCTGGAAGTTACTCAAGAGTTGCAGAGAATCAGAGGAAATGGGAAAGGTTGGGAGCATTTTTTGGAGTCAGCTGGGAGTTCAAACGTTCTTTACTAATATAAAGAAAATAAACTTAGTCAAATATTTCAGTAGTGTCGTACTGTTTGTATGATGTCGTGGCATAGATTGCTTGCTTGTGTGTTATAAGTTACTTTTGTGTCATTCAACAAGTTTCTAGGTTCTTATCGGAAATTCAACCGTGTATATTACTTTGAACAATGTCAAGTTAGCTTTATGGATCTGATTTGTTTTTTTATTTATTTGAGAAAGAGGGGAAGGAAAAAAAGCTGCGGAGTGTCTACGCACTGCTTTGAGAGACTATAACCTCAAATTTGGTACAATTCTTAATGATCCAGACTTGGCCTCTTTCAGAGCTTTGCCTGAATTTAAGGAACTCCAAGAAGAGGTTTGCAACTAATTTTGGCTACATTGTCTTCTGTTTTTTTCTACATATGCGAAACATAAAACATTCAAGTTGCATTGTTCTATAAGGTTGTAGTTTGCATCTCGTCTTCGGTCAAGTTTCTTTGATCTCCCTGATAAAAGAAGTAAAAGTAATAATTTAGTGGTGAAAAATGTAATGGAGTACTTGCATTGTAGAACATTATATCTGTAGCCTTTTCGTTTTATTTACAGGCTAGGCTGGGTGGGGAAGATGTAGGCTACGGTTTTCGAAGAGACCTCAAACTCATTAGTGAAGTCCAAGCACCATTTCGAGGGGTTAGAAGATTTTTCTATGTCGCATTTACTGCAGCGGCAGGAATTTCACTGTTCTTTACAATACCCAGGCTATTCCTTGCAATTAAAGGTGGTGATGACGCTCCTAATATCTGGGCGACAGTTGGGAATGCTGCCATTAATTTTGGGGGTAAACAGTGACCTAGCTTTGTCAATGTCGTTATTTGGTTGTTGATGGTGTGCATTTAGAGTTATTACCCGGCTTTAAACAATAGCAATTGACTTGTTTCTCAAAATGACTAAGCTTTTGAATCAGCAATTTACAGGTATCATAATTCTTGTGGCATTATTTTTCTGGGACAACAAGAAAGAGGAGGAACAACTTGCACAAATATCACGAGATGAAACATTATCAAGGTTGCCTTTGCGCCTTTCAACTAATCGGGTTGTTGAACTTGTGCAGTTACGAGACACCGTGAGGCCTGTTAGTATCATTGCTTCTCCTTAATAGACTATATTCCCCATATTGCCTTCACAATGAAATATTTTTTTGAAAAAGAAACAAGGAAATGAAGAAAAGCCTGTTTCCCATCCATGTCTAGATAGTGCAACAACATCAAGTGTGGGCTCTTTGCATCGTGACAAGTAAATGGTGAGAAAAAGACGAATTTTTTGGGGGTTTTCAACTCGAAGATTTTACCAACTAATTTTGAGCATCTTTAAATATTTTCATGATATACCATTTTTGCTGTCATTTTTCTCCTTAAGCATCATAGATATCTACTATTATATACACAGAACCTTCATTGCATATACTATGTTAATGTTTTTATTTCCTTTTCCCCTTAACTATACAGTTGTCCATGTCCCTCATTGTAGGGTTCATTTTCTGACTGATACTTGGCTTAAGGTTATTTTGGCTGGGAAAAAGGAGTCTGTCTCTTTGGCCATACAGAGGGCAGAGAGGTTCCGAACTGAGCTTCTCAAACGAGGCATTCTTTTGGTTCCTGTTGTTTGGGGTGAAGGTAGAGCACCGAAAATCGAGAAGAAAGGCTTTGGTCTTCCTCCGAAGGCAGCTGCTTCTCTTCCATCTATAGGGGTAAGACTATGATTGAGAATTCCCATATGCATTTGTAATGGCTACCATCATCCTTAGACGCCAAGGACGAATTCTGACCATATAATATCTAAAAGGAACCAAAAGAAATGATCGATGTAAAAATGACAGCTCCTCTTAAAAATGCTGGAATCCCAATGGTACAGACCCTATCACTACGAAAATATAGGACTGATCTCGTATGATTACTTCATTAAATGCATCTTTCATTCGCTGTCATCCTCACTATAAAAGGCCTTGGGTCAAATATCGGTCATACCACTGGTTCCCCTTCACAAGTGTGCACTCACTCTGTTTGTGTGCATGCGGGGGCAAACTGTTGCACGTGTTTGTATTTCAAGTCCAGAAGGCCATACCCTATGTCATATATTTGAAAGCATGGTGTCTATAGGACATCAAATTTTGGAGAACCCTGTGCATGTTATAAGCATGTATTGAATCAAGACATTTTGTTTGTTAATTGACACTTACCTGGATGGCACCATTGCAGGAAGATTTTGAGAAGCTGGCCCAGTCAGTAGTTTCAAAATCAAAATTGAAAGCTGAGATTCGATTCAAGGCCGAGGTGGTATCACCTGCAGAGTGGGAAAGGTTTGTGCAACTCTGTTTTGTCTACGTAGGTACCATGTCAATTGTCTTTGTCGTTGTGAATGACACATTCCCCTTAACAGAGCACAGATTGTCATTTTCAAAAGTGGATTGCGTTCCAGTGGCACATGTACTTCTTTCTAAATTTTTCCTATGAAACTGTATCGGATTTTAGCTACTTTAATGTTTTGTTTACTCCAAAATGTTGTACTCAATCTAAGGTTATCTTTGATTAGTTCAAGTTGCAAATAGCTTCTTCCTTATTGAATTCTGGTCTCTTCCGGCTTTCGGTTTTTCCTGAACTTAGGTGGATAAAGGATCAACAAAAGTCTGAAGGAGTTACTCCTGGGGAGAATGTGTACATAATACTGCGTCTAGATGGCCGTGTTCGAAGATCAGGAAAGGTCAGTACTCTGATGGAATATTATTGCACAGTTTATCTTTTCTTTCTTTTTTCCTTATTCTCCCTTGGACTGAAATGGTATCTATGATTGGTTGGCATGTTGGGTGGATGATAACAGGTAATCCATTTGATGAAGGTTGATTATGGAAAATATTTATCACAGCCTCTGTAGGGCTGAATAGAATAACTTAGGATTTTTACCCATTCTTGCATTTTGCCTCATGGTTACCAAACAGAATCTCATGGCATTCAGGTGGTAATTGTAGTTAATTGGTGATTGTTTAAGCTAAACTCGAAAAACTTATTCACTCTTCTCTAGATAGTGTTGTGCGCTCCACTTGTATAATTGTGAGAGAAGATCAACGTTTCTCCCCATCCCGGAACAATAATTGGTATCAGAGTGTGGTTGTCCTAAGTTGTACTAGACACATTGTAGGCATATCTTGTAATTGCTTGCATTCCTAGTTTGTTTGCCACTAAACAATTGTCGATCTAGGTTGTTCTGGTTTCATATGGACTTACACTGAACACTTTGTTTCTTTCTCAGGGCATGCCTGACTGGCAACAAATTGTGAAGGAGCTGCCACCAACGGAAGCATTGCTGAGCAAGCTAGAACGTTAACATGAGTTGCTTTGGTTTATTACACGCTTGATGCCTTAGTCTGTCCGGTCCCTTAGGCCTAGTTTCCAAAAAACACAACCAACTGAGCTATTCATTGTGTTGTTGGATTGTCTATAGGCCACTTGGTAGGATGTATGAAAAAAGAAAAAGAAGAATGGTAAGGATCAACTTTCTATCCTTGTAAAAGAAACATCTTCTTTCCACCTTTAAGAAGGATGAGAAGTAGAAATAATGAATTTTTTCGGGTTTGATATGATGCATATCTTACCGGTATATCTTTATATATGAAATTAACTTATTGTGATACAGAGTAGAACAAATATATAAAGGGATGTAAAAGTAAGTGACCTACATATCAATATACATGTTTACCTTTCCTTTTACTCTTTTGTTCAATTTTGGGTTGATAGATTTTGATAGAATTAAAGGGGAAAGACGCATTCCTCTAGTTTTTCTGCCTTTAACCTTTCTTTACTAACCAAACATAATATCTTTTTAGTTGCTCCTCCCTCCGCCCCTTTTTTTTTTCTCCCATTTTTTGTTCTTCCACTTTTCATTCTTAACTTTTCACTACAAAATGGGGGTGACAATTTTTGATACAATACGAAAACATGACTCAAAATTGACACGAAATTAGTAAGTTAGAATTAGTAATTTTTTGACATAAACTGTTAACACGAATAATAAATAGATCAAGTTAGTGTTAAATACAAACAATATAAAATTGACACAATTAACATGGTTAATTACTATTATAAAAATAAAATATTATTTTTTGTTATATTTTATGAAGTAGTGATATAATTATTGTACAAAAAAAATGTTTTTATTCATTTTTATTATTATATTTATTAAGTTAATTTTTAGTTTATAGAAAATATATGAGCATAGGTTTGATTAAGAGAATTAAATTTTAAACTTAAATCTAAGCGTTAAATTTTGTATTTACGAGTTCTTGAAGGAACTCAACCCACCTAACGTGCCTAACACTCAATTTTCTCTGGGAATGAAGGTATTTTAATGTCTGATGATCAGAATATAACACAAACTCATATGGCAATAGATAATACCTCCAATGGCGAAGATCTTGTACCACAACGTAGAACTCTTTGTCATATGTAGAGTATCGTTGTTTAGCTTCATTGAATTTTTCACTGAAGTAAGCAATAGGATGACCCTCTTGACTCAAAACTCCACCTATCCCTACACCAGATGCATCACAAGCAACCTCAAACACCTTAGAAAAATTTGGATGTCAAAGAACCTCTGTCATCCTGTGCTTAATTTCTTGAACGACTACAGCAAGTGTCCATTGAAACTCCCCTTTTTTCATGCACTCTGTGATGGGAGCCATAATGGAACTAAACCCTTTAATAAATCGTCTATAGAAGGTGGCCAAACCATGAAAACTTTGAACCTCAGAAATTGTTCTTGGCACTAGCCAATCCCTAATAGCACGAATTTTCTCTGGGTCAGTTGCAATACCATGCGCAGAAATAACAAATCTAAGGAAAAGCACTTGAGTTTGCATAAAGGAGCACTTCTTAAGGTTCGTATAGAATTTTTTCGCACGTAATGTCTGCAAAATTTGTCGAAGATGATCCAAATGCTCTTCTTTAGACTTACTATAGATCAAGATGTCATCAAAGTAAACAACCACAAATTTTCCTAGGAAAGGACGCAGTATTTGAGTCTTAACCCTCACAAATGTGTCAGGTGCATTAGACAATCCAAAAGGCATGAACAACCACTCATAAAGTCCATCCTGGGTTTTAAATGCGATTTTCCATTCATCTCCTGGTCTAATTTGGATTTGATGATAACCACTGTGCAAATCAATTTTGGAGAACCAAAGTGCACCGGCCAAAAGGTCAAGCATATCTTCAAGTTTCGGTATAGAAAATCGATACTTGACTGTAATTTTGTTAATGGCACGACTATCAACACACATTTTCCAAGAGCCATCTTTCTTAGGGGTCAACAAAGCAGGGACAACACATGGACTAAGACTATGACGAACAGACCTTTTTTGCAATAGTCCATCTACTTGTCTTTGGAGTTCAGCACGTTCAGTGGGATTCATACGATAATGGGGAAGATTAGACAACTGAGATCCTGAAACTAAGTCAATAGCATGCTGAACATCTCTCATTGGTGGCAACTCATCGGGTAGTTCCTCAGGAATCACATCATGGAACTTTCTTAATAGACTATCAACCTCAGGCAAAAGATCGTCTTTAGATTCCAGAGGACTTTGAACAACTTCTTTAACAACTAGAGCTACCATTATACCAGACTCTTTTCTCTCTTTCTCAAATTCTCTATAGGTCAAGATGTGAAGGTCTTTCTTGTGAATTACTGGGGAAGATGACCTATACTTTGAAGTATTACTTTCTGAAGGTTTCGCAGGTTTTAACTTAATGGTTTTCCCCTTATGCTTAAAAATATAGGTATTTTTCCTCCCATAGTTTGTCACATCTAGATCAAAAAGTCACGGGCGACCCAACAAGACATAAGCAGCATCCATAGGTAAGACATCACACCATATATGATCTGAATAGTCACCCATCTGAATAGGGACCAAATATCTATGTGAGACTGGTAAGGAGGTCTTGTCAACCTAGGCGACTTTGTAAGGTTGTGGGTGTGTCTCTGACTTAAGCTGCAACTGAGCTACAGTTGATTTAGAGATGACATTCAATGAACTTCCCCCATCAATGATGACCTTGCAAACTTGACCCCCACATCGGACTAGAGTATGAAAAATGTTGGTGCGTTTCCATGATGCTCTGTCTGAAGGGGTGGATAAGATACATCGCATCACACTGATACGAGTGTCATCAGTTTACCACTCTTCCTCACCCTCATCTAGTAACTCTAAGGGTTCCTCATCCAAAGGATCAACTTCTTGGTCAACATCCTCTATGTCAAGTGAATTCTCTAATCCCTGGTTAATGGTCAAGGTACGCTGAGGGCACTGTAAAGAAATATGACCCTTGCTATGACAACGGTGACACTCTATGGAAGAACTGTCCTGGCAAGAACCTGTGAGTGTAGAATCTCGACCCCTAATGGTATTACCTCTCAAGTTGGGGTAATTGTTACCCCTGGATGTGACAGGACCTGATTGGGTGACGCCTCGAGACCGATCAAATGGGACTGACCTTGATAGTTGAGATTCTCCGGTTTGAGAAGGCATTCGAAGCTGAAAGGGTGGCCTAAGGCATTGTTCAATCTCTAAGGATTTATAATATGCTTCCTCAACCGTTTCAGGAGAGTGTAAGTTAAGCTCTCTTTTAATCTCAGGTCGTAAGCCATTAATGAATTTTGTAACTGTTACTCAAAGCTCTTCCTTTATGTCACATCTCAGAAAGAGTTCTTCAAATCGAGCTAGGTAATCAGTCACACTCGAGGTCAATTGACGCAAGTTCATCCACTTGTCCAAAAGTTGGCGCTTATAGTAAATAGGGAGATATTTATCTCACAATTTTTGTTTCATCTCAGCCCATAAAATAATTAGTTGTCCCTCTAGGCACTCTTGGTCTCGTTGGACTCCCTGTCAATATCTCTTAGCCGAACCAACAAGTTTTATTTTGGCAAAACGAACCCAATGGTTGTCGGACATATCATACCAATCAAAATAGTCATCCATGTCATCCAACCAATCTATGAAAGCAACAGGATCTAACCTACCATCAAAGCTAGGAGCATCCACTTTGAATCTTTGTGTGATATCCCTAGATTCTTCGTGGACATGCCTATGTCGAGGATTATGGTAACGCAGAGGGGAAGACCTATGGTATCTGGCACGTGGGCGGAAGGGCTTATGATAACCATCCATATCACCCTCTGCTGAATAGTCAAACATGACTACCTCAGCAGGATCCTCCTGAACATTCCTATGACCTACGTTTCATCCAAAAAGCAGTATTAGGAGGTGTCTTCCTATCTAGACGATGTATTCAGCTCCCCTGAGCTACTTGCGAAGTGGATAGGACACCTTGACATGAGTCAGTAGGATTTATCATGAGAGGCAGGTGCCAAACATTGGGTACTTGGTTAGACTTAGGTGAAACTTATGACTCACTCTAGTCATACACAATTGGGCTAGTTGAGTAGTAACTTGAGAAAGTTGTTGCCCCGTTCCTTTAACTTCCTCACGTAACAAGTCGACTGATTATTTAGTATCGGTTATATCAATGGTGAGGGTCTCAAATTTTTGTTCTAATGAAGTTTGAGATTCTGAAAGCTCACGAAGGGTCATAGTGAATGTAATGTAAAATTTGGGCTAATGTAAATGGTCGACTAGACTAAAAATTAAACCAAGTAATAAAAATTTTAAATCAATGCAAATGGTCACACAAAAGAACAAACGTATTGTAAAGAGGCTCAAATAAACGTGAGACAAGCAACAATGAATTTAACAAGAAATTGGGTAAGTTAAGTTATGAAGGTGGTGTGTGGGAACAACAAACAAAGAAGGTTATGAAGGTGGTATGCGGGAACAACAAACAAAGAAAGTTTAAGTTTTTTTTTTTTTGTTTGACTTACCAACAAATATAAATACTAGTTACCAATTCTCAACTAAAAGAACTCGTACCTGGTGTTAGATGCAAATCCAAGAGGATATTTGACAAGTTAGGGGATGATCCTACAAAATGTAGAACTTTTTAGGGTGTTTCTGCAATTTCTAGAACTTCTGGGGTGATGTTTCTATAATTTTTTGAACCTGTTGGGACGTTTCTGCATTATTGGAATTTCTGGATGATACTTCTGTAATTTACTAGAACTTCTAGGGTGATTCTGTAACTTTCGAGAACTTCTGGGGAAGTTCTTGTAATTCTAAAACTTTATGGGGGTGAAAGGATTAAAACTAATGTCTTCTTCCTTAACACGATGGAACGAGGAAAAAGATGGGCAGCGATGAAGTCAAAGCAGCACAGGTCAACGACGAAAATAGGCGCAATGAACAGTACACAATTTTTTTATTTTTTTTTATGGAACGAGACCAGAACAGTGTGCACGATGAAAATTTTTTTTTTTCTAGAATAGGAACGATGAACAGTAAGAATCTGCCAAAAAAAAAATTTCGATGAACGGTGTTGTTGAGATTTTTTGTGATTTATACGAATCGAAATTAGACACTGATATCAAATTGATGTAGATCGTATTAGAGAAGAATTAGGGATAAGAAGGGAAGAAGAAAGAGATGAGAAAAGAAGAATAAGGAGATGAGAATAAAGAGAATTTTAGAAAGAAGATTCAATATCAATAATCAATCAAAGTCTACCAAAATAATAACATATCTCCTATATATATATAGGGAGACCACAAATCCTAAAAAAACTCTAAAAAAAATAAATAGTCATAATGACAACTAAACCCCTGAAAAGTATAATGACAAATAATTCATAATCCTTACGCCTACGCCTACTATAACGAAATATAATCCGATTCCTATCAGCAGGTCATTCACACTGGGATTAGGGTTTTATGAAAGATAAATTTATCGTGGTCTAGTTTCAAAGAATTAATAAAATTTAACTATTGTCCCTTGAGCTAATTTTGCGTTCTACCATAAGCATTTGAAGCCAACTGGACATCAACCTTTTCCATGGTCCAAGTCAAATGGCAATTTTGTGGATGCCAACAGTTTGGATTCCATTTTCTTCAAACTAAACTAATTAAACTGGCCTGCCTGCCTGCCTCCTCTCTTGTCTTGTTAAACCATATATCCTAAGGAAGAAGAACTTGAAAGAAGGAAAACATCGAAGACAACACAGCACAAACAATGGAAAACTCTTCTTGTTTTCCAGTTCTGATCTCTTCCTTGTTGATTGGAGCTCTGATCATCTCCGCCAATGCTGGCGGAGACCACGGGGAGTTTGGCTCGACGCCTGTTACAATAGGTTGCCGAGGCTCCGTTGCGGAGTGCATGGCCGGTGACGAATTCGAAATGGACTCCGAGATCAACCGGCGGATATTAGCAACCATCAACCACATAAGCTATGGTGCTCTACAGAGGAATGTTGTTCCATGCTTTCAGAGGGGTGTTTCTTACTACAATTGCCAGCCAGGTGCAGAAGCTAAACCGTACACCCGTGGCTGCAGTGCCCTTACTCGTTGCCGAAGTTGATTTTTGTCCCTTAATGTGTCATTTGAATTCTGGCTAGTTTGATTTTTTTTCTTTCAAGTTTGCTTTTTCTTAGATTTCTAAGGAAGGTGATCTTAATTACAGTTGATCATTGATAGTGTCACATGAGTTTTATTCTATGTTTGTATCTATTTAAATTTATATCCAATCAATTCCGTTTGATAATTCAAGAATTATCAATTCTAAACTTTATGTTCTGCTTTAATCTGTGAAGAAATTTTATGACATCTAGCGATCTTTATTACTTGCTATTTTTTATGTTTTGTTTAGATTATTATCAAACAACTCTCTCCTAACCATTATAATTCTCCCGGAGTGTACTCTCCCGATGACTTTTATTCATCAATAAAGATCTCTAGCCACCGCTGTCGTTCCCGAGAATGGAGTAGGTCACCCGGACCGAACCACTATAAATCTGTTTATTTGCTATTATTTACCATTTTGTCATTCATTAACTATTTACTGCTCATTAATAGTATCTCTTGATATATTCGACTGTTGATTTTGTGTCATATCAATTTGTGCATCATCAGTTTGGCACCGTCTGTAGAAAATGACTAGATTTTTTACTCTCTCTTTCAACCCATGGTAATCATGACTAGATCGATGAGTCAACAATCGGGAGGCAACAATCCAACCCATTGGGAGGAGGCTCCGTTACGACGACCCCTGTCATTGGACAACAACTTCTACAAACCATGCAGCTGCTGGTAAACCCAAATCAATAGATCATACAGTTGATGCTCGCCTAAGGAAGCGTCGCCCCTCACCATGTGGGAGGAGTCTCACTCCCTCCAACAAGAGAGGAGCCACAACCCATCCTCTCTGGGCGCCAAGCAGTCTCCCACCATGGGGGCCCTCGCCAGAATGCCCCAAGGCCACACCAGGGCACCCCTCTCCCAACAATCCCTCCTCAGTGTGTAGGGAGCTCACGTATTCCCCCTCCACACGTATCTGCGCAGGATGAGGACGAAGGAGAAAATCAAAATGACGATCATGGAAGCCAATACCATCATCCAACTGAGGATGTCCCCAATCAATGGGACGAGAAGATCAGAGAGATGCAAAACCAACTCGGTGATACCCTTAACGCCATCGAGGCACAGACGCCTGAGACGGTGGACTACCTAGTAAGACGTACCAATACACCTTTTATTGCTGATATAGTCAATTATCCCTTACCCTCGAAGTTCAAGATGCATGTCATCGAGATCTTCGATGGTATCAAAGACCCCCTCGACCATCTTGACACATACAAATCTCTTATGCAACTTCACAACGTGCCTCAGGAGATTATGTGTAGAGTCTTCCCTATCACCTTAAAGGGTCTGCTCGCCAATGGTTCACAAATATTAAACCCTCCTCCATCCACTTATTCGTGGAACTGAGTAGGTCATTTGTCTCCCACTTCATTGGGGGACGCCGACATCAGAAACCTGTGACCCACTTGCTCACCATCAAGCAGGACAGGGATGAAAGCCTCAAGGACTACCTTGCCCGGTTCAATGAGGAGGCTCTTCAAATTAAGGAGCCAGATGATAAGGTATCCCTAGCCACCTTTATTGCTGGCATTCGCTCCTCTAGTTTCATGTTCTCCATTCTCAAGAAATCGCCCTCCAACATACTCGAGCTACTGTCTAGGATACAGAAATAAGTGAACGTCGAGGACGTCACCAAAGCCTATAGAGGTGAGTCCTCCCAAGGAGGAGAAAAAAGGAAGGATACCCACGAAGACAAGAGGGAGGTAGAGAATAAGAGAAGAAAGCTGCGAAAGTTTCTATAAAGGACCGTCTCGATCCATTACCCCCCGAGAGATCGACAACCTTTCAAGCCATTCAATACCTCGGTGAAGCACATCCTATTCCAGATACAGGATGACCCTGCGATCCATTGGCCCGGAAAGATGAAGTATGACCCCAAGCACCAAAATTCTAGCAAGTACTGTCACTTCCACTGCGACCACGATCACGACACGGACGAATGCTTCCAGTTAAAGAGGTAGATTGAGGATCTTATTCAGCGTAGCCAGCTGAGACAATATGTTGCTGGTCGAGGACCAACTCCATTACACGAGGAACGAGAACGCCAGTAACCCCTCGGAGAGATTCAGACTATTACAGGAGGGTTAGGAGGAGGAGGTGACTTCAACTCTACTAGAAAAGCACATGCCCGGAGAGCCAAACAGATAGAGTCACATGACTTTCGCCTAAAGAAGACACCCCGATATGGGGAGGAGAAGGTCATCATTTTCTCAGACAAGGGGCCTCGAGGGGATCTAGATCCCTCATGATGACCCCCTAAGTCCTGACCCTGATAGTTTCCAACTACCAGGTTAGGAGGATCTTGGTCGACAGCAACAGCTCAGCTGACATTCTGTTCGTGACAGCCTTCACCTCGACAAGGAGAGACTGTAGTCTGTCAGGTCTCCCTTGGTTGGCTTCTCGGGAGAGAGAGAGTCCATCCCGTGGGATCTATCATCCTGTCTGTCACAGCAAGAATTACACCAAGGAGGTCTACTATCATGGATGTTTGGGGCCCAGATGGAAAAGACAATGGAGGTTTACGTAGACGATATGTTGATAAAGAGTATAGTTGTGACAGACCATGTAACGCACCTGCAAGAGACCTTCGACGCGTTAAGAACGTATAAGATGAAGCTAAATCCTGAAAAGTGAACCTTGGCGTCAGTTCAGGAAAGTTCTTTGGCTTCATAGTCCACAAAAAGGGAAATGAAGCCAACCCAGGTAAGATCAGAGCCAACTTAAAGATAAAGTCCCCCGTCTCAACAAAGAATGTCCAACACCTTAATAGGAGGATAGCAACCCTCAACAGGTTTGTCTCTAAATTAGTAGATAAATGCATACCCTTCTTTAAAATCCTTCGCAGGTCTTTTCAGTGGGGCCCAGATATAGAGAAGGCCTTCCAGAAACTCACGGCTTACCTCGCCATGCCGCCTCTACTCTCTCATGCTGCACCAAGAGAGACCTTATACCTTTACCTCTCCTCTTCACCCTCTGCTATGAGCTCCATCCTTATCAGGGAAGATAAAGGCATCCAGAAGCCTGTATACTATGTAAGCAAGGCATATTGAGGGGGCAGAGATAAGATATTCAGAACTCGAGAAATTGGCTCTTGTACTCGTCACTGCCGCCAGGTGTCTATGCCACTACTTTCAGAGCCACACCATTGTTGTTGTTACAAATCAACCATTCAAGAGGATTTTAGGGAAGCCTGATGTCTCTGGTTGGCTACTCAAATAGGTCATCGAGTTGAGCAAGTTCGATGTGCAATATCAGTCACGATCAACTATCAAAGCACAAGTACTTGCAGACTTCGTGGTAGAGGCTACACCACCACAGGAGTCCCAGAAGGAAGTACTAGGCGACCTGGCGCCCATCTCCTCAGTATTATAGCCTCTACCGCCATGAGGTTGGAGGACATGATGACTCGGAGGAGAACCCCCAGCCTGAGCAGCCTAGGGTGTCGTCCACCTGGCCTAAGGCATTGCCCACTATGCCTGGGGTGCCGCCCACCCTGCCTAGGGCATTGCCCTCTCTGCCTGCATCACATACCACTTTCCTCTCTCTCTAGGCATCATCCGGTTGCCCATAGCCTTCTACCCCTTTGACATCATCACAACTCCCCTCATCACAGACACCATTGCCCATAAAGTCAGCTCCTTCTCCATCATCTACTCTACCAGGTTGGAGACTCTACGTGGATAGGTCCTCCACCAACGAGGGCAGTGGCACGGAACGAGTGCTAATCAGCCCTCATGGCACTCTGTTGAAATACGTCGTCTTCCTCCATTTTGCCACATCAAACAATCAAGCTGAATATAAGGCCCTCATATCAGGCTTGAAGCTGACGTTGGAGATGGAGGCCCTCTACTTGATAGCCTACAGTGACTCCCAGCTCATAGTCAACCAGGTAAAGGGAGACTTTAAAGCAAAGGAGGAGAGAATGTAAGAATACCTCTCAGAGGTCCAAGCCTTGCTCGGGAAGTTTACCAACTTCCAAATCTACCACGTGCCCCGAAAGGAGAACATCATGGCAGACACCCTCGCCAAATTTGCCTCTGCCAACATACTAATGGGTTCGGCACTGACAGGACACCAGTTCAAACCTAGCACCTTCAAGACAAAGGAGGACGATGTCAACTGTGCATCCTTGGAGTCCAACTGGATGACTCCCATCTGGGCTTACCTACAGGAAGGCGCTCTCCCAAACAACCTAGTGGAAGCTGGGAGATTGAGAATGAGAGAGTCCAGGTATGTCATCCTACAAAACACCCTCTTCAAGAAAAGTCATTCTCTCCCACTACTTCACTGTCTTACCCCTGAAGAAGTCAATTACGCCATGAGGGAGATCCATGAGGGGATATGTGGGAATCACTCAGATGGACGTGCGCTGGCCCACAAAACAGTTAGGTAAGGATACTATTGGCCTACCATGATCAGAGACACCCGAGACTTTGTCAAGAGATGTGACAAGTGCCAAAGCTTTGCGACTATGCCCAGACAGCCACTAGAAGAACTGACCACCATTCAAAGCCAATAGCCTTTCTCCATGTGGGGATCAACATCCTAGGTTCCCTCCCTGTGAATCGGGACCAGTGCAAGTTCATAATGATAGTCATTGACTACTTTACTAAATGGACAGAAGGTAAAGCCTTAGCCAGAATAACAGACCAAAAGATAAAGGACTTTATATGAAGGAGCCTAGTCTGCCGCTTTGGAATACCTCTCGCCATTTTGAATGACAATGTCAAGCAGTTTGACAACAAACTCCTCAACAGTTTCTATGTAGACCTCCAGATCAAGAAGCCCCACCCATCCATAAGCAAACGGACAAGCAGAGGTCACCATTAGGACCATACTCCGTAATTTGAAAGCCAGACTGGAAAGTGCAAAACGAAGATGGGTAGACAAACTCTCAGGAGTATTATGGGCCTACCAAACAACACCAAGGAGTCCTACGAGCGAGACCCCTTTTTTCCTAACCTATGGGATAGAGACAGTGATACCCGTTGAGATTGGGGTGCACTCCCTTAAGGTCCAGCACCATGACTCTACCAGTAATAAAGAAGGCCTCCGCATCAACCTCAACTTAGTAGAGGAGGAGAAGGAGATAGTCATGCTCAAGAATGGAAAGTACAAGCGTCGCATGACCAAGTACGACAACTCGAGGGTGAAGTCTCACTCCTTCTTACCTAGGGACCTAGTCCTCAACAAGGTCATCCTGTCTACCAAAAACTCTCAAGAAGAAAAATTGGGTCCCAATTGGGAAGGGTCCTACATGATCACGGAGGTGGTAAGGCCGGGAACCTACAAAATACAAAACTTTGAAGGAAAAGTCCTGACCCACCTATGGAACGCAAAGCATCTAAAGAAATATTACCAGTAGCTGGGGGCAGTGAGTTATAAGTTGGTGGTCACCATTTAAACTATTTACTTTTTATTTTGGTCAATTTCCTTCAAATATTTACTTTGGATTATGAAATAAGATTTTTCCAAAAGATAGAATTTGACCTGTCAACAAAAAACGTGAATACAAAGACACCTCCTAATGACAATCACTACCTCCACTTCCATCATCACTTACGTCCTCCTCATCAGGTTGACAGCTAGAGAAGTCATAAGTAGGGAATGTTGCTGAGACCTTTATCCTGAGCTCATCATAGCCATCAATGAAGGCTCCTGCCTTGGCCCTCTTAGTGGCATCCTTCATTTTCTCCATCTTTATGGAGTAAGCCTTTGCCCTAGTAGCTCTCTCAAGAGCTACTCGATCCACCTCCAACTTGGCAGCCCTCTCGTGCGCTAGCCTCAACTACTCTACGATATCTTCTCGCGCCTGCCACTCAAGGCCTAATTACTTCGTGGCATCCTCTCGTGCCTGTCTCTCAAGCCTTAACTATTCTTTAGCAGCCTCACGTGTCCGCCTCTCCACTATCTGGTCATCGATTGCCTCCCAAATCTTCAATGTATTGGTAAACAAGCAAGGAAAAGCAGCAGCCACCTACAGACATTCAAAAATATAAAGAAAGTCAGGTACAAAGCCAAAATATAACAGAAGAAAGCCAGGTGCAAAGCCAAATAGGGGTGCTGGACATACCAAAGTAAAGCCCTCCACAGCAACGTCAACGATGCCCTTTGGACCTCAAGAGGTAACCTCCTGAGCCTTCGTGCAGTTCATAAACCCCCAAAGCCTCTCCTTGGCCAGCTTCACATCCCGCAGGATAGATACTGAGTCACTGCCCGAAGCAAGACAGCTAAGCGGACCCTCCACCCTAGAAGGGGAGCGCGCCGGGGCCTCAGCCCCTACTATAATGCTAAGAACATCTCTAGGGGGGTGACGAGACATGAATAGGAGAAGAAGTGGGGGAGTCACCAAGCCCCGCCTCTCGGGGACCAGCCTAACCAAGGATCCTCAAGTGAGGAGTACCAAGGGCACCGGACTTTGCCTAAGGAGGAGGAGAAGACACCGCCCTCGAAGCGCAGACCGCCTCCACCACCGATCTATCAATAGAGGCTACCTTAGAGCCATTGACTCCATCGAGCCCCAGGCCTCCATCGGAGTCTTGAGTGTTCTCCCTCTCGCCTAAATGAACACCCGCAAGAACAAAGTCAAGCCATTGCTAAAGAAAACACTCATATCAACAGAAGAAAAAAAATGAGTACCAAGTAACGTACCTCGGGAGCTCGTTTTATTCAACTCACTGATTGAACGCTTCCTGGCGCTGCCCAAAGTACCATCAAACTTGTCTACATACTTCTTGGAGCTACCCATAGTGCTCAAGTCATCGCCATCGCCATCGCCAAAGATGCTTGCTTCAGCGCCAATTGTGCCCGCCTCAACGCCAAGGGCGCCACCCATCTGTCCTCCTGCGTCAAAGGCATCGCCCGCTTAGCCTCCTGCACCAAGGGCACCGCCTCCTACCTTACCCACCATGTTGGTGCCGCCCCCCCATGATTTCTCCTATGCCTGACGCCACACAAAGGTCCCTAGCAGAGAAGGCGCCGCCCAAAAGAGAGCTGGCGTCGCCCAACGTTGTGTTGGCGCTGCCCATGGGGTTGGGCTCGCCTGTCTCTCCCATCGCTCCATCTCATCTGCTCTCTACAGCACCACCGGCATCCCAAACAGCCAAAGACGCCTCCTAACCCTAGAGACCTGTCGCCCACTTCATCACTGACGCCGTCCATCTGGCCACTAGTGTTGCCCAGCCTCTGGACCAGCTCTCTTGAGCTCTCCATCATCTCGCCACCCACCTTCTTTGAGCTCCTAGTCTCCATTTGCCTTGTTTTGATTTAGAAGAGAGAAAACTAAGGGTGAGAAATGGATGAGGAACAGTAACCTCTTGAAGAGGCCTTTAAATAGAGGAAGAATGGCTTCTTGAGGAAGCCTTGTTGAAGTAGCTTCTTGGAGAAGCTTGATTGAATAGCTTCTTGGAGAAGCTTGGTGAGATAGCTTCTAAGAGAAGCCTCCAAAAATAAGAAATTAAAAGAGGAATGAGGATGGAGAGACCAAGGACCTCTATTTATAGATGAAGACCCAACAAGAGCAATGCCGAAAAATGCAAAAAAAAAAAAAAATTGATATCAGTAAACTCAACAGAGTCCCTGAAAATGGAAAAGCGTCGTGAGGAGCAAGAAAACTCCTGCTCAAGTGAAGAAGAAGCACATGCCCTCAACCCCTTCCTCTCACAAAAAGTTAGAGGCTTGGGGCATGGGGGAGAAATGATGAATCCGAAATCAACAGGGCCAGGCCCAAGCCCCTAGCGTTGCCCATGGGGACCCTCCTAGCTCTCCTTCATTCCACGCTCTCCTTCCTCATATGGGCGCCGCCTCTATGGTCTCCCTCCTCATTTTTCCATTTCGATTCAGTTTAGGATCCAGGAAGCCCGAAGGAATAGGAGCACATGGGAGAGAATATCGGGATACGCATTCATGGAGATCTAATCCCACCTTAATTGTACTTACCAAAAAATAGTGATCACCTTGCCTCGCCATACCTATATAATGTAAGTTCTCTCCATATAGAGGACATGACCAAGAAATCTCTACAATTGGAGATCCCTACACACACATTGTTATTCTCTCCTAACCATTATAATTCTCCAGGAGTGTACTTTTCATATGACTTTTATTCATCAATAAAGATCTCCAACTACCGTTGCCGTTCTCGAGAGTGGAGTAGGTTACTCGAACCGAACTACTATAAATCTACGTGTTTGCTCTTATTTACCGTGTTACTATTGATTAACTATTTACTGCTCATTAATTGTATTTCTTAATATACTCGACTGTTGAGCTTGCGCAATAGTAATTTGTGTATCATCACTTAGAATAATGCTTGAAACAAAGAAAACATTAATTGGGAGACACTTTTTTTATGATACAGAAGAAGTTTTTTTGTTGGGTCAAAATGATAAGAGGTAGTTGCTCATCAATTTTGAAGGACAACTGTGGAGACCAAGATTCACTTTGGGGAGAGGAATCGTTGGAACTGTTGCAGGAGTATGTTGGCCCATAGGTCAACATCGTATCTGCTAGCCAAATCTCAATCTATCTATAACTCCAACTCATTAAGCCTGAAATCATGTATATTACATGTTGGATTAATTAATTGTCTAGTATGATAGTATGAGAATATGGAATCAAACGTAACCCAACTCGTATTCAACTCATTAACAGGTCTAAAAGATCAATCTAATTACAATACAAACTTATGAAGATTAAACTTACCCCCAATACTGTTGTATCTCTTTCATGTTAGTTTACCAAACCCCGCTAATTAAAGCATTGTCGGGAAGGATTATGACAATGTAGTGTAACATACAAATCAGAGCAACAGCGGTCTAATGTATATGGTCATAAAACCAATGCATAGTAGATCTAGGAGAGCATCATACCCTCGAGCATTAGCACCATGAATGCCCTAGGGATAATACAATAGTACCAAAAGTTTATTTTTCAATACCATATACAAAAATGAATCCAAACAGTAAATCTTAATTTCAGTTAGTTATAGCCATAGGCATGGTACCGAAAATAGTTTTTTGTATCAAGTATTTTATCCTGCATATCCCCAAATCCCTCCAGTTGTTAGAAAAATGTTGCCTTGTAAAGTCTACAAAATAGAATCCTTTTTCAAAAAAAATAATATATTTGAGTGAATTAAAGTAAAAACTCCCAATTAATAATCACACAATCGTGTCTGAATATATGAAAGCCATTGTAACATCCAGAAGAAAATAAACAAACAGAAGAATGTTAATCACAGATGCCCGAGGCACTCATGGTCTGTTATAGTAAGGGCAGTTCTATCCTCCCAACCAGATTTGGGGATAAGAAATAGTGAGTATGAAACTGCAGTCACAGCATCCATTGCAACATTTTTTGAATAGATCTAAGCAGAACCTTCATCTGGTTTCACTTCATCTGGCTTTTTGGATGGTGCCAAAGGAGATGGAGAGCCCTCTGCGCCCATTTCTGACCTGAGATCGTTGATGCTCTGCTCCAACTCATCTATCCGGTTTCCCATTTCATCGAGTACATTGCAGTTAAGGAAAAAGGAAGAACGTGGAGAAAAACAGTAATTTTGTCAACAAATGAATGACAAAGCAAGCATTAAAATTCCCGAAGTTTTTCTTTCCATGCATAAACAAGTTCCAAAAAGCTCCCTCTTGTACAGTGGGTCCTCTATTTACCAGTGCCTGGAGCATGCAAAGTTTGTATTCAAAAGAGAGAGAGAGAGAGGGAGGGGAGGGGGGAGCAAGACATGGATGATGTATTCTTCTAATCCAATCAGGGTATTCATGAACTTGACCTCTATGAAGCACAGTAAACTACCAAAAACTATTGGCCAACATTATGAAAGCTCGGCTGGGACAAACGACGGCAGTGTCTAGAATCTGACGCCATCTTAATTACACCTACTTGTTTTAAGCGCCAAATATCTTTATTTCTCATAGACATGCTTCATTACTAAATATTGATACTACCAACCACACCCAATTGGCATCCAACAAAGTTAAAATGCAGAAAAAGGATATTCTTTGAAACAATAGACTCAGACATGGTCTGGAACCTGGTTTGCTGCAAGACAAAGATAGAAATAAGTAACAATTGTATTTCTAAAGAACATAAAATCTGCATTCCAACTCACCATCTGTTGGAGAAGGTTTTGCACCTACAAAAACAATACAAAAGGTTATTAATCATTGAGACTTTGATATTGCAAAGTCAATCACAAGTCAAAAGGATCCCCACAATCTACTGAGATTCCATTCTTTAATCAATAATTATTTTGCTGCAAATAAAGTGATAGAATTTAGTTTTTTTGGGTGATTTGGATATCGGGCGAGCTGTCATCAATCACCAGCTGATATATCCATCCTAGAACATACAATTCAACCAGTTTAAATCAACTGTAGTACTTCAGATCACATGATAACCTGACCAAAGAATCTGAAGTATGCTTTACCACTAGCAAACTACCATTACAACTAGATAAAGAACAATGTCTTAAGAAAATGTCAATATAAGAATAAAAAATGAACTTACAAAAGCCGTCATATCAGCAGTGCTTTGCTTTGCATCTCCTGAATCTTGTCCGTCCTGCCAGCAGAACCATAAGAGGTCTACCTCAAAACATCTAAATCATAAAGATTGCATATGCCATACCAAAAATGGAATCGGAGGCACCATGTACCATAACTCAAATAGAACAGTGATGGGAGGGCCTAAACTCAACAACAACATTACTCACAACTTGACTAATAACCTTGTTAAAGTGAAACTAGCCACCCTTTTCGAGCTTTGAAATTGCACCACCTCTAAGAGATGAATGAATATTACAAAACTCTACCACTTAGAGCAGAAGATAGGAAATACTCTTAGCAGAAATGCAACCTCGATGTATTTACACAAGTTAACAACACAAACTAAAATGGCAACGCTCCCTCAATGGATTTACTCAAGTTAACAGCACAAACTACAATAGCAATGCCACCTCAATGGACCATACGCAATAGCTACAATTTGTAAACGGCTGCTCACACAAAGGTAGCAAAATTTCAAGCCATTCAACCACAATATACGTCAATCAATTCTCATGCTTTATTGCCGAAACTCCACAAATATAGGAGATTCACATTTCAGCCATGATCAAACTGCCTTTTTAGGACGGATTAATATATAGCAATATTAACACTTAAATCGAAGCGCGTGAATGTTTATGTGAATACAAGATGAGATAGAGGTTTGATAGAACAGAAGGAATTATTGCACTGTTTGTAGCCAAAGACCTAAATCATGTAGAAAAACAGATCTAAGAGTTTGGAAATGAACTCTCTCGATCTACTTGTCCAGGAAAGTCTTTAAACCCTAACATTATGAATGTCGATAAAAAAAAACTCATGAAAAGAGTAGTAAAATAAGAAATTCAAGCTAAAAGAAACGCATATCGCATAATTGGAGGTTGATGATAAGTTCTGCAAGTACAAATTGAGAAATTGTACTTACCATTCTTCGATGATGAATCACACAAACGCACTCTCTGCTTCACTCCTCCCCTCCGCGTTCTCTCCCCCCTTTCCAATGCGACGTTTGTGTGCTACTGATGAGTACACCACAAGCGACGGAGACAAACGATCTAGCGCACTCTCTTTCTTCCGAGTGAGATTCGTTTAATTTACTAATTTGCCCATTAGTTTTTTTTGGTCCTAGGGAGCCATTTGTGTTCAAATTTCAAATTCTTACAAATGCAACTTTTAAAAAAGGGTCCCACACCTAAAAAAAAAAAGGTAAAATAAACTTTTAGTTTTCAAAATAAGCGTTTGATTTATTTGATGCCTAACATTTCAATTATCTCTGAGATTTCTAATTTATATCTACGTAATCCAATTTCAAACATTTATTAAAAATTTGTAATAGTTTTAAACACGAGTCAATCACGTAATTTCTAATTTATGTTTATTTAATTCTTAAAATATATCTATTTGATCCTACGTGATTGACGTGTAACCACAAACATGACAAATGTTTAAAATTTGACCACATAGGTACAAATTAAGAAGAATAATAATATTTAGACCTACAAATGAGACTATGATTTCCTACGATGACAATATAATTTCATTGAAACCATTAGATCAAGAACAAGTTTCAACAATTTATAAGATTCACAGTCTATTCAAAAGTCATAGTAAATAAAATCAACAAATCAAATCAAATCAAATCAAATTTTTTATACAAATAACATTGCTCAATTAAGAATCTTAAAGGCCAAATAAACACAATTGAAAATTTGATGACCAAATAAATACTACACGCATACTTAGTGACTAAATATGTATTTTACCCTAAAAAATATATATTCCATTCACGAAAATGATTTTTCCATGCGTGAAATAAATTTATGTACATTTAATCACCCCACAGTGATGAAAATCCCGTTTGTCTTTTTATAAAAATAACTTACAAATGACCCATAAAGAGAAGGCTAGTGTAGTGTATCTTTGACAGTTTTACATCCAAGATTTTAGATTGAAAATTGGGAGGGAATAAACAATGTACAAAATTTTAAACAAAAGAGGCAGAAGCCTTGGTGCTTCATTCGCCTTTCTCTCTCATCAATGATTCACCATCTCTATAAGGGTATGCAGGTGTAGCAACCCAGAGCCCTCCCAGTATAACTAGGTGAATACTAAGAAGCAGGACCGATGAATAAATGTTTGACGGGTAGATGTTCCAGCATAGTTCCACCCCCATAAACAAAATCAAACTGCACAAAAAAAGGATCAAATAAGGAAATTGATAGAAGGAAAAACAGAACGAATAAGAGCATCGCCAAAGCAGAGGAGAAAAAAAAAACTCAACAACCGAACAACCGAACAACGTACCGTATCAATGTAGGAAATGGTGTTTTCCATAGTAGATATGGTAAGCTATAGAAATACCTGCAGAGAAACAACTCACTGACTTTTTTAGTATGAAGATGCTCGATTTACAGTGAATGAAATTAGGCCACACAAACACATGCATACTTTTTTACATTGCTCCACCTATAAGATTGTTCAGTCTTTTATAAGACTCAGAATCCTAGTCCAGATTACCGAAACAATGTATAATTAACTGCAGAAAGATGTCACCACCATACTCCAATCGGCTTATAGTTGGTGCCCGTTCCACAGTACGACTGGCACTCAAAGACCAGGCGAATGATGGCCCACCCCATCCAAGAGTTCTTAAGTCACAGGGGAACTCATGGCTGGAAACAATCCTTATGGTTTTGATATCCGATAGAAAAATAAGAATCAAAATCCAAGTTGGTTGGGTCCGTTATGTAGCTAGGGGTATACCGCCACGTCAAGACTCTCTTTCGAGAGTGATATCACCACCGGCTTTAAGAAGAGGGAAAGATCACTCCTAAGTGCGCCCCCAGGCCTAACACGCATCCCACAGAACTGTCTACTTAACAACCATAACTATGGCAGGAAACAAGTTCATATCGTGTAACATAGCACATCATATATGCATATCGATAAAACTAATTTTCTTAAGTATTTATTATTTTCATTTGTTATTTCCACTTGGACACAACTTGGCACAAATTGTATGAAGCCAGTTTTTATATGCAAGCATCTTCGTGGCTAAAAGCTACCTATTTAGACATTAACTCTAACAGGTAGAAAAGAAAAGCAAAACTCACCAAGAGTAAAACTGATAATGCAGGGATCGGGCACATACAATGCCAATGAAATTCCCAACAAACATAGTGGTCACAATATCTGAATTAAGCAAAGCCCAGATTTAGTATCCAATTCAGGAAAGACATATAAAATAACAATAGGAACTATAACATTAATTATAAGAAGGAAACATACAGAATATCCACCTAGAAAAGAAGAGTAAGAAGAAAACATAAATGGTTGTGCTTCAATTCTTACGCTCTTTTTTGAGAAGCTTGAAGGTTGAGTTGCCAATGTAAAATTGTTTAAGAGAGGAGCTTGAAATAGCAAAGCTGAGCCTCATTTGGTTTAATTTTGACTGCAAGAAACAGAGCAGTCCTCCTTCGTGCCTACAAACAATAGACATAATGATTCTGTAGAACTCCAAGCAAGTTTGAGGACCTACTGACATAAGCCTATTAAAAAATAATACTGCAGGCTTAGTAGTGTCTAAGAGGGGATGAGGACATTGTGTTTCAAGACTGGCCACACACCCATCTCCTTATCGAGCCAGACACAATCTGTGAGTGTATTCCAGAAGGCTGAGGCCCACAACCCATCTGCTCCACAAAATGGATTTAATCCAGGAACAGCAATAGACAGAAAAAAGTAGTCCAATTTGGGTCAAGAACATGGGATTTCCTCAAATCTTGCGTCTCGTCATTGCAACTTCTACTACACTCACTATTGAAAACAAGGGAGGTCAGAAGATCTACTTACTTGCACCATATATAATGAGCAAAAACTGTAAGCACAACCAGATGAGTAATCAGTAAAGAGACTGCAAATTCCTTCGAAACAAAAACCGGTTCAGGAACAAATTTGAAGTTAACAGACCTGAGTGCAATATAGTTGAATTTAGTTCTCAATTAATTGTACTTGGACCAAGGACAATAAAGAAAGTTAGACAAGCAATATATTGAAAGAACAGACAGAAATGTGCATTCAGACGTTCAAAAGAAATGCATATCAAATAATACTTTAGCAGCCAATAGGGTGCAAAATTTGTAAGTCAAAGGTGGGGAAAATAACCCTTCTAAAGGGCTATTTTTTATTTTAAAAAACAAATTGCCCATTAAAATCAGCGAGTTTTCAAGACTGTTCTTCCACTTGGCATGAACTGAACTGTGCCAACTTCACATGCAAGAGAACCACAGACATACTTTCAGAAGTATAAATAAACACCCTCAAATAATGGGAATCCTGGCTATCTTATTCAGCATATTAAAATTTCTCCATATAGAAGCCACTACAATTCGTTTTTAGGCCACAATTAGAATTCTTTGTTGCTTCCACAAGTCTACTGGAAATTATGTATCATTTTAAAGAATAATTATGAGTCTTTCATCCATCACATTTTAGGAGACATCCAGCAGATATTATTTTTTCTTTTACTTTAATTCATCCTTGTAAGTATAATCTTCTGGCAATATTCTAAAGCATGTCACACAACTAATATATGTTATGATCTCTATCAGGATATCCATTAGAAAATGAATCAATATATAATGCTTATGAGGTAAAGTATACATATATTGCAAATGCATTGAAATAAAGCACATACCAAAAGTGGATGAAGACCCGCCCAAGATTGAAGGCTCTTGATATATATGAAATTGGATAAGATAATATAAATGGCAGCCCCAGAAGAATCTGCAGAACCGTTCACCAAAAGGTGGCGGAAATAGATGAACATCTGTATCAGTCTATCAGACAATGCCCTCCATCACATATTTATCACATTTGCAGTCCAACTCACCTAACCACATTAAATATAGGAGATATGATTAATTGTCCTAACAATTGAAGATATTGCATATGAAGTATTGAAAAAACTTATTGGCTACATTAGGTATAAACTAAGTTGCTCATAGAAATTCTAGTTTCAAAATATCAAGCAATTCATTGGCCAATGTTGAATGCACAAGTATGCTGAAAACAAAGGCAAGGTATAGGCACCTGCAGTAATGCTGCACCTGCTAAAGCAGATATCACGCCAGCAATATCCATAGCCTGTCTTTTAAATGATTCAGTGACAGCAAAGAGAAGTAACTAGAATAAAACTATGCTATAATTAGGAAAATATAGACAAACGTAATAAATATACCTTCAGCATGAGGAGCAACAAAGGGGGAGCATATAGAAGCACATTCATCTTTATGGAAACAGCTCCACTGTAGTGATAAGAAAAACAAAGTCAAACCCACTCAATTGGTTAGTACAATGCCCAATAACATATTGTCTATGCTAAAAAATTAACTAATAAGGAATTGTAAATACTACCTGAAAATTATTAAACCTAGATGCCACTTTTGGTAAAGAAATAAGGCTAGTGCAGCATGGAGGAGAGTCATGGCAAAACAGTCATTGAACAAACGAAGAACAAAAATCGAGTGAACTCTTTTAGAGAGACAAAGCAAGGAAAGAGCCCACCACGGAAGCTGCAAGGCAGTTTAATCAGTGTAAGATAAAGGTAAGGAAAACAACAGAGAGGAATGTGTTTTCTGACATATATATGTGTCAAAACTTGCTTTCGTGTGTGTGTGTGTGTGCATGTGTGTGTGAGAGAGAGAGAGACACACACACAGAAAAATGCGAATGGGAACAATCAAAGATTTCTACTATCATTCAGACAGATTTCTCCTCAAATTTTTTCTTCCAAACTTCAAATAATGCAAACATTCAATCTTATCCTAAGGAATAAGATCATCTCCAATACATTTTCCCTCTATTTTTCTCCTTGATAGATCACCAACCGTAAATTCAAGTGGGACCCATTGTACATAAGTTGGTCCCTCACTAATTCATCGTTGCCATTGGTGATTTATCAAGGGGGGAAAATAGAGGAAGAAAGTATTAGAGGAGATTTGGATCCTTATACTAATAACTTGCATAATTGTTATTCATGAAATACTCCAACACATTCTTTTCTTTTAGTAGCAAGATGAGACAGTCTTGTGGAGTAAGTTAGATTACAAGATTCTCCAAGAACCAAAATTTTTAGGTTTTTTTTCAGCCTAGCAGAAACGGGCAATTTATTATCAGGAAATGTTTAATTCTAAAACTATATTCTTTACCTTTGAAGTAAAAGGCAGTAACCTAATGATCTAAGATGCCTTCAAGCTGATTTTAACATCAACACACAGGGTTAAATGAAAGGAAGCCTTAACAGGAACTAAAAGATTATTCCAAGGAGCATGTACGAATTGTTTTCAAATGGTAATGGCATAGGCATATAATATGAGACTACAGCCAGTAAGATGAAAGAGGTAATGTGCGAAGTAAAATTTGGAAATTAAATTCTTCATTTTACCAAAAGAGACAATCCCTAACAAATTCATCAACAATATGCACAAAGAACACCTTTAGACCAAAAAACACCTCCTTATTTGTTGCCCTTGGAAGGCGGGAACTTGCAAAGCCCACCATAATAAGTGCATCTTAGTTGCACAGATATGCACACCCACACAGAAAATTAACACAAGGTTTTACACAAGAATATGTATCTTTAGCTGTCGTAAAGCATCAGAAACTAATTTGACCTTTTTTAGCATTTCACAAGATAGTCAATCTGTTAAATTGAAACCATTTTCAGTGTTCCATTCCATCATAAGGATCAAAACATGTTTGACTAGGGAAAAACTATACTATAGAGACACCTAAAAAATGTAGGAACCAGCAATTCATTAATCATTAGAAAAGTTCCTTACCACATTACTCTTCACATATATGAATAAGATGATTCCGAGATTCACAATGTAAAGAACACCAAAGAGTATCTGCACTGCATTGAAAGAGTAGACGTCAATTAGTTTGTGATTAATTGTGCACAGACCAATTAACAAAGGGAAGCCATAGCCCATAATCTATCATTGGAAACAAATATAGCTGTAGATCAATAATTATAACAGCAATTTAATTCATTTCAAAAGAATTATGATGATCTGGATGCACTCCCAAATGCACGAAGAATATTGTTCTCTGTTATGCACTCGAATACCCAAGAAAACCCCTCATTTGCTCCTTTTTTGTTAGGATCAATTAAAACTTACTGCAAGTCAGCATTTAATAGCTCGCTAGTATCCAGCAATCTTCTAAGCATTACAGGAAAATGATTGTCCCATAATTATTACTAGCAGGAGAGCCAACTGGATGAAACATAATTATCAAAGTATACTCTACAATAACCTCAACAACACCAACAAATTACCCAGTTAATCAGCGTACTATCCACAATTTTTGAACAAAATAAAAATTTTGTTCAAACTCCAATTACAAATTCCATGGAGGATCAATTATCAGCTCACGCTGGAAAATTTGCCAATAATGTGCAAAGTAATCAATTTTATTGTACAACAAAGAAACACAAATGGACCCTCTTTTGCTATATCTATTCAAACTTCTTTAAAAAAATTTACCTGCGCAGGGAAGACTTGACCTCCAGTAACAAACTGCATGGCAGAGTAAATATAAAGAAACCCAGCTGGGTAGACTAAAGGCCCTGTATCCCCTTTCAAGTTGCTGTAATCTCGCTCTCCTTTAAGAAATCCACTAACCTAAGGTGGAAATGGGAATAAAACTCATGTTTACAGGATTTTTAATACCAAAAAAAAATAGAGAAACAAAGCATAATTAATTCAAACCTGTGACATGTAAGCGTCCCAATCAATCTTCGTGTCTAGCATCATAAATTTGAAAAGTTAAATAACAAATCTTATTTTCATAGCAGACACACACACACACAGGACATGGTTAATCTTACAAGGGACATAAGCGATGATTAGAGCGACAAGAAGGACGTCGAGAAAAAGCAGAGCGAATGCGAAGAGTACTTTAGGGTTCTTGTAAAGCTTATGAATCGAAAACCCTGATCTTTGTGAGGGGTTGCGTTTTTCAGCCGATCGAACTGCCATGGCTTCTTCTTTAAATCGTTTCTCTCGTCCCACAGGAACTGTCGTCGGAAAACCGCCAACGTTCAAACGCAGCGTTCCCTTTAAGTGCACCGGCGCAGTATCTCCGTAAGACAACTCTTTTACAGAGTTTGAGGGTTCAGCCGCGGCGGGAAGCCCAACATAGCAATTGAGGGTTTACAATATAGGGTTAATCGTACTACAAAAAATCGTTTGAATTTTAGTTTATATCTTCAAAAATAAAAAATTTAATTTATATTCTCAAAAATAAAAATTTGTATCATACTCACCTCAATCTAATATTTCATCTAAAATTAAATAGATAAATTATATTTAAACCTTCTTATATTTGTTATTTAATCACCTAGATCTTTCAAATTTATAATATTACGCCTATATCTTTTGCGAATCTAAATATGCCTAAAAATGTTCTTCTAATTGGGCATTCCAATAATTATATTTTTTTTTTATCCGGAAGAGAATTAAATAATTATATTCAAGTGATGTATTACATTGAATATAAAGAACATTATATAAATATCTGCATTATGTTGGGTATTCAAATAATAAATTTGATTTTAAATTTTAGAGTATAACAGACCCATAAAATAAAAAATAATACGAAAATATAATTTTTTATTATGAAAAAATCATATTTTTTAACAGTTATATTAACAGATATCAACAATAAAAAATTGTGTGTTATATGTATACAAGCATCAGGAGGTGTAGGAGTAATATTATAAATGTGATGGGTCAAAATAATTAAGTGACAAGAATAATTGGGTCTAGGTATAATTTATCAATTTAGTTTTAGGCAAACTAACAACAGTTTCATGTGCGCATTTATACAAATTTATATATTTCAGAGTGTAATTTAAATTTTTTTATCTTTGAAAGTATAAATTGAAATTCAAACAATCTTTTAGGAATCAATTTATAATTAACCTTACAATATATTATCGGATGGGGCTAGCCCTAGTTTTAATGTATATGGGCCTTGCTAGATCAGCCCAACCAATCAATTGCGATGATATGGGCTGGTTGGTGATACTTCTTCTTAATAATCCTGACATAATATTAAAATACTGGTCAGGTTTTGTAATTAATTAAAAATACTTTGAAATGAGGCGACCCTCTAACATCAATTATAAATAAATATTAATTCAGCGAAGCAGCTCTTGCAACCCTTTCTTGAGAAGCCACGACAGGGTGTATATTCCATCCTTACAAGTGGGCATAAGTGGAGAATCTCGTATTTCAAATATACTTTTTAATTGAAAAAAGGAATAAAAAAACAAACACAATAAATTACTTCCATATTAAAAAGAATTTTAAGATCCCATTCTGAAAATTTTGCTTTAGGCTGCTAATATAATTGGGCCGACCCTGCCCACCATCCAAGAATTAGATCCCAAAAAAAAAATATTCATTATAACTGTAATACCATGTTAATATTGTCATATAATATCACTAACTAATAATATACAGATAAATAAAAAAATAAATTTCAAATAAGCTAATAACTATTCATTATTCTTCTATGTAAATTAATAATTATCCAAGTAAAATTTATTTTTTAACCCAAATTTACTGTGCTGAATTAAAGTTTTATCACCGATGCTTACATATCAACGTTGTATTAAATATTCCCACAACTTGAAAGATTAGACCGGACTGATCAAACCAAACTAAAACAAACCAAAATGTTTCTAAACATAATAATTAATGCGACAAACTCGTGGTAACCATTAACCCCAAAAGCTTGTGATTAGTATTTCAAACTATACATAAAAAAGAACAACGCATATACACACCCATGCAAACTCTTGAAATTCCGGTTACGAAAATTGACTTTCCTAACATAAACTATACATGTTCGTAACCTCTAGGCACAGGCTATCACATTGCACAACACTACTTGCTGACAAGAAGTCACAACTTTCAGACATACACAAGCGTCAACGTTACAGCAGAGAGAAACACAGCCCAAGCCAAACAAGCCAAAACTAGATCGCCGGCGATGGGATTCACCTCCCGGAAGACCTGAGAACACGCCACCAGAGCACCCACCTTCGCCAAACACACGGCCAACGCCACCCAACCCGGTCCAATCAAAACCACGATCGGGTCCCAAGCCAGAGCTAGACTCAACTGAACCACATACAGAGCTAACGCGTTTGGGTTCCTATGGAACCCACCTTCGGCCCACACAAGCCAAGCCGAGAGACCCATGAGGAAAGCTGACAACACGCAAGTCAAGTGCAAAGCCCATAGGGGTGGGAACCAAAACGGTTTTCCGGAGCTATAGCTGGTATTTGACCCGAATAAATAAACGCTTGCAAAGGTTAAAGAGAGAGGAAGAGCAACTGCTATGGCTAGTGATCGGAGGCCACGTTTCGCCATGGCCGTTCTCTTCTGTGATCTTCTTGCTTTGTTGGTTTTGTTGTCCATATCGGTTTCGACGATGGGTTCGTCGCCGGTTCTGGGTTCATCTCCGGTTCTATGTTTAAGCTCTTGGGACGCCATGAGAGTGTTTTTGCCTGAGAAAAAAGAGCTAGCGATGGTTATGGAGGAATTTCAGGTGAGGTTTTTATAGAGGAGAGCGTGTTTTTTGCGGTGGTATGGATTTGTTTTGGAGATTACGGTGAAGAGGTGAGACGTGGCCGAAAGAGGCGGTGAGGGATGGATGCTAAGCGCACACGTGGGTGATTTTGCTGCGAGCAGTTGAATTTGGGTCTATGTTTCTTCGAACTTCGCTGATGTGGCATTGGTTCGGCATGTACCACCTTGCACTACCATGACATATAATAATTTTTTATATTAATCAAACCATAATAAAATATATCATGAATAAAGTTACACTTCCGAATTTAAACATAACATAATCAAAATTAGAATCGCTAGCTCAATAAGATAGTTTTTTTAATAAGTATTCAGCTATTAAAATGATATAAATATAAACAAATATAAATAAAATTAGCAATATGTCACATTTAAACTCACGGGAATGTAGCACTATTCATTATTACAATTCGTTAATTTTTGATACAAACAAGAATCATACCCGAAGAAAATTTTATGATTTTTACACCCTATAGAATCTAATACTCTTCTCACTTTTCTAAGAATACCAAGAATTATGTAATTTCACATAGGCTACTTGTGATATCTGATACTAATAATCAACGAACTCGATGATTATTAGAATTTTGTAAATTATTGCACAAAATAACGTGTTTACTAACTCACTATCGTTAATTTTGTGTAAAGATAGATCCGTTAAAAATCATAAAAATAAGGTTATATAATATTTAGATCCAAAATCAGGTAAAGAGTCAAAAATTATATATATGTGTCATAATAGAATCCAAAACATTTGATATGTGAATCGATTCCAAAAGATGATTAGGATTTCAACTCAAAATTATAAAATGTGTAAAAATCACGATTTGTCAACAAAAACTCAAATCTAATCCCATTAATAACCAAAAAAAAAAACTAACATTTTATAATCAACATAAGTTTGATACGTATAACCTAAAAATATGCATGAGATAATAAAGCATGTCCTAATCCCAAAAAATAAAAAAATACCGACAAAAAACATGCAATTTTTGAGGAAAAAAGAGAGAAAGAGAAGAACAAGGACACATTGTAAAAGAAAATAAGAACAAAACAAAGACATTTCACACCAAATTTTCTAACAATTGCATGAATTGAACCAGCTAAATAAATTCTTCCTTGATATATGATAATCTTCATAATGATACATCCACACACACGGGAAAAAAAAAAAAAAAAAAACAGACCAGCAAAAGTATGTGTGGCTGCAAAATTTAGTTTGATAAAATGAATAACTTCCTTCATTGGCTTTTGCTCGCGCCTGTTTGTGGTTCAAGGACAAGTCCTAGTACTTGTCAGAGAAAAGTTGCTCTTTCCTCATAAGCTTCATGCCTTTCAACGAGAAAACTTTTTTCACATATGAGCTAATTATCCAGAAACAATGCATTTTGATTCAAAACTAAAAGATATAAAAAGGAGGAATCTCAGACATCAGAATGACACAAAAAAGCTACAAAGAAATCTCAATGCAAAGATGGGAGACAGAGAAGCAAAACGTCCTGAATTACTTTTACCACCAAGAAAGTATAATATGTATCTGAATACCCTTGGCAATGTATTTGCAAAAGGCAAAGGTCATTTTAATATCGCAAACCTCTGGAATATATGAGAATTCAACAGCAACATATCAAAACAACATTAACTCTATTGACATATACTGCCAGAAATATACTCAACAGCTAGTAAACGCTGCAAGAGAATTTTCCCTATAGTCATTACCCAGTCGGGCAGAGCTTCCTCAATGTTATGGAGGTTCTCCTTTTCTGATCTATATCTTTCCCTTCCCATTTCTGAAACCCTGGCTTGCGGTTTATCTCATGCTTCCAGAGGTAACGTGCTTCTCCCCACATTAGGACTAGAGATCCCGGGGTCATATATACAGGAATCTTTGTCAAGGGCAAACCCATCTCATATTCCTTTCCAATATCCAAAGCTCCTCCTTCAACTCTGCTAAAATGCATCACACAGGACGACTCCAGAGAGACAATGGCAATTCCATCTTCAAAGCGCATAAGATCAACATGTGCACAAATTCCCTGCACACAAGCAAGAAGCCTAGCATCACGTATACATGCATAGTTATATTGGGGGCGGCCCTGACAACGGAATTTAGTCTTCATAGATTATGGTTACGCACAAAAGATCATGCAGTATAAGGCAAACATGAAACTGACAAGCCGGAATAGATGGAATGATGGAACAAGAGCTATGAGAGAATGAGCTATGAGTCTATAACCTACATAGAAGGCATGTGTAGGATATGAAAATATACTTTCAATAATGTCTCAACCTACTGACAAACCTCCAAGGCTCTTCTATTTGTGCAATTTTACAGTCACATGGTCTTAACACTCGATGCACAAAGTTGTGCAACACATCTTAACCAACCTTTATTTCTGGTCTGCCTCAGATGCATTTTGCTATTACAAAAACTATCTAAATTCTTAGGTATCACTTCCGTTTATGAAGATAAATAGACCACACTCAGGCTCACATGATTTATCTGAAAATGTCCCAGGTACAGGTACTGGGTTATGGAAAGATATGCCTAGGATCAGGTTCACCAGAAACAATATCAAGTGTGCCACCACAGTCCAATGGGCTGAGATGATTATGTAATTAATTGTGACTTTTACCCGGAATGAATATATCCTGCCGTAGTGGGAGAAACAGGAACATAACGAAATTTTCCATACAGCCCAGTCCCATTGGGCAATAAGTGGCAACCTACAATCACGGCTCCGTAAGCCATTATGTACCCTTGTGTTGGAATCCACATCCTTCAATGGGCTAATGCTGCTAATCACTCATCATTAGTCATTAATTTACATACATATGGTGTCCTTATGACTTTATATTATATATCAATTGACCTGATAAATGAATGCTAAGGCTCAATCCAGCCCCTTTACCTTGTTAACTGAACAGCCAAGGTTTCAAAACATTCACTTCTTTCTCTCCCCCCAAACTGCCCCATTTTCATGCAGGCCAAGTGATGGAGACCAAGAAGGAATTAGATACAGAAGAAAAAGAGGAGATCAGGAAAGAACTAAATCTCAATAAATCAACTATCAAAGGCTGCCCAAAGCAAGTACATTATTCCCCTATATCTATGCAATACCATAACTACAAAACAAATAAATAATCCAACTGACAAACAGTTCCCCAAAAGTAAAACTAACAAATAAGTCCTAATCTCTCCAGCCAGCACAAATGTAGTTACTCCTTTTGTAGAAAATCCCAACTCATTAACTTGCCTTGGCACTACAAATGAGCATGTTCTTTCATATATATTATTATGGAATTTAATCCCTCTTATCAGCTATGCATGCCTAACCTTACATGTAACATGATCACTAAACTTAATTGTTCAATGATGCAAAAAACTAATATATATATATATATGTGCTTTTAAAGTGTACAAATTTTCTACCAAAAATTCACAACATCTTGCTAAATTATGTTAATGATAACTTGATAGAGAGAGAGAGAGAAAGTCGATCATAAGTTATGTTTCAAAATATCAGATGTCGATGAAATTTAAAACTCCAAAATCCATATCGCACCTCACCTGGTTGATATATGTTTACTATCAGTTGATTAAAGAGAGGCTCTCTCCATATTAAATCTGATGGGAAGAGACAGACTTCTTTATCCTCATTACAATTTGAATTGTCCATGGAGTCAAGAACATAACCACTGAGAAGAACCACCTCACGAATAGAGTTAGAAAGTTTAATTGCCCACACCGGAAGATTGCCAAACCTCATAGCCTGCAATTAAAGTAGTGTATGAGATTGAAACTAAAAGTAAGGTTTAGAGTCTTTAGACCTTTTTCATGTAATACAAACGAGACTATTAATTTTATGGAGTGACTCTACTGCCACAAGCGACTAAGGGAGCTCCTCTCACAACTACTAAGTGACTTTAACAGATGAATTTATCCCTAAATCACACAAAACCAATTTGCTATAGTAGACTTCGTACTCTATTTAATTGCATTGCATACAATTTGTGACAAAGATTAACAGTTGGATCTATCTAAAGAAAATGAACCAAGTATTATATTTCTATAAACTCAATAAACATGTTTGCCATTAGAATTCATTTCTTGCCAACCCAATATGTGATCTGTGGTACAAGAACTAGAAGTAAGACAATTCGAGAGCATGTCAAACCTGATTGTGAGACGCTTCAACGAGCCATCCTTCTGCACCCATAAAACACCAAACATTTGTATGAGGGCTTGCCATCACAAACTATGTTCGTTTTGAATAAGAAACAAAAATCTAATTAAAGTATCTAGGTTACTAAAGCAATCCAACAATTCCATATTGATATGTAAAAGCAACTTTAAAGAATGGAGTCAATAGACAATATTCGAATGATTATACGTCTTTAAAGAAAGAAAGAACCTTCTTCGATTTCGGATAGCAACAAAGACTGTTGATCATGAGAGAGAAAGTCTCTGCACAACCATAAGCCATTGATTTCTTCGATTCGTTCCCAGTTGGGGCTTTCACCGAAGATTGATTCAGATGGATCTACATTACTTGAATCTTTAGACTGAAGCTGTTGTTCTTCTTCGTCGTCGCTGTCCGATGATTCGCCAAACACGTCCTTGACAAGCGTTTTGTGCTCCTCCATTTATTTCGTCGGCTCTCCCACTCCAACTGGAATGATTAACAGTTGCGAACGCTGTGCCCTGTGCTTGTAATTTGCTACGGGGCTAATCTCAGCACCCGGAAAGACTCAAATCATAATTTACGCCTCAAAATTTAAAAATATTAATTTATACTCTGAATTCGGTCATTTTTTGGTTAATTATAAATCGTAATCCTCAAAGTTTAAGTATTTTTTATTTATAATCTAAAAAAATTTCATCTATTAATACTTTTTAAATAATTTTTAATTGTATCATTTCATAACATCTTCGTATCATGTTCGAGTCAATAAAAAAATATTTTTAAAATTTAAAAAAAAATTATAAAAAATCTATTTTTTTAACTATAATATTCGTTAAATAGTTATTTTTTGTCTAAAATTAGACAAAAATCTTTTGATTGTCCAATCAATTAAAGTTAAATACGAATAACACAACTGTAGAAAAAATAATTATTTAACAAGTATATAGGCAAAAAAATATGCATTTTTCAAAATTAAAAAATATTCAATAATATTGTATGAATTATCGTAAATATGAAATATATAACACAACACAATTGACTTGACATAAAATATTTTTTTATTGACTCAAAGACGTCACGAAAATATTATGACACCATACAATTGAGAGCTATTTAACGAGCATTAATGGATGAAATTATTTTTGAATTATAAATGTAAAATGTTTAATCTTTGGGGGTGAATTTATAATTAATTCAAATTTTTTTAATGGAAAAATAGACAACAATTAATATTAGGTGCGCATTAGTATGTATTTATATCTTTTAGGGTATAAATTAATATTTTTTAACTTTAAGGGTACAAATTAAAATTCAAGTGATCTTTAAGTTAAGATTAGGCCTTTGTGTAATAGATTTAGGGGAGAGAGAAGAATTAATGTTAAAGGAAGCATATTGATTGAATCCAATTATTTTATTTTGGAAAAATTTTACCTACACCCCTTCTAATTTATTATATCTTCAAAGACACCTCATTTACTATCAAAAATATCACTGACATCACTTCTAGTTTAATTTAAACATCACTAACATCCCCTACCATTAAACTACCATTTATAACAAAAAATACTCATCTAAAATATCAAAAATGCCCCTACATAAATCTCAAGTAATTTTTCTACATAAAATTTTATTAAAATTCGAGCTGTTAAAATTTAAAAAAAAAATCGTAAATAACAATTTTGGTAAATAATTTGTTAGTAATACTAATTTGTTATTTACGAATTCATAAATTTTTTAAAAAAAATTCGAGGCTATTAAAATTTTTTTTTTACATATTAAAATTTGAGCCAATTTAAACTCTACCCGAGTTGTTTGCGTCGATTAAAATTCTCTTTCGAGTAGATTAAAATTTATATTTTTTTACTTATTAAAATTTGTGTCAATTAAAATTTGATTTATTAAAATTTGAGTCAATTAAAATTTATATTATTTATATATTAAAATTTGTGTTGATTCAAATTCAATGTGAATTGATTAAAATTTGATTTGATTCGATTAAAAATAATTTTTAATTTGCCCAAATTTTAATACGTAAAAAAAATTATAATTTTAAATTAGCTCAAATTTTAATATATAAAAAAATAAATTTTAATTAGCTTGAATCGAATTTTAATATGTAAAACAAATTAAAAAACAGAGGGGATCTCATTGAAGATATATTTATCTAGAGGGAGTCTCATTGAAGATATGTTTATCTAGAGGGAGTGTGGATGAAATTTATTCTCATAAATATAATGAACAATTTAGTAAAATTCCATTATAGTTAATATTTTTGATCTTACAGGGGGTGTCATTGAAGATTCAGAAAATAGAGAGAATATCTTTAAAAATATGGTAAAATAGAGGAGGTGTGTAAAATTTTCCCTTTTATTTTTTGTTTACATTGGAAGAGAAAACTAAAAACATGAAGACTTCGTCACAAAACAAATGCTAACGGGTAAGTCAACATTAAGTAAGATAGAAAAACACGCTGGTCTGGCCTTTGTCATCGTTAAATTCATCAAAAATTAAAGAAAAGTGCACGGGAGAACACATGTCGAAGAGAGTCAACACCAATTCATTAAGGGCACGTTTGGTAACCAGTTTTTTTTTTTTTTTAAAAAAAAAAAGAAGTTTGGAGAGTGTTTTTTTTTTGTCGGTCTGTTTTGTAAACGACCCTTGTTTTTTAAAACACCTATTTAGGTGCTTTCAAAAACAGAAAAAACATGTAAACATGCGCGTCTCTCAACCTCAATTAATGAGGTATTGTCTTTGAATTCCATTAACAGAATAAAAGCTATTTTTTTGTTCTAAGTATAAAAAGACTTTTTTCCCCCTTTTTGGCTTCTCTCATTTGTTTCACTCGTGCTTCTCTCATTCGGCTCTCTCTTGCGAAGCCATTCTAGGCGAAGGAAGCTCCAGCGAATGGCGAAACTCCATCAAAGGAAGCTCCAGCAATAGAAGCACTAATTTTTTAGATTTTCTACTCTTTGCATCTCCATCGATATTTTTTTCTCTCTATCCCCTCTCTGGATTTTTTTTTAATTGAACCATTGGTGTTTGTTGTATTCATAGATCTATGTATATATACATAGATTTGTGGGTTTCAGTGGTGGGGTTGGGCTGTGGGTTTCGGTGGTGGTTTTGGGTGGCCAGTGGAGATTTGTTTGTGTTTGTTATAGATTTGTTTGGGTTATGGGTTTTGGTTGGGTCTGCTAGTAATAAGGAGGAAGAAGACTTGTTATGGATTTGTTCAGTTGGGGTTGCTAGTAATAAGGAGGAAGAAGACTTATGGTCAGTCAATTTCTATATCCCCATTATTATTCTTTGTAATTTTTTGGATTTGTTTTGAAGGATTAAAACCATATTAGGCTTTAAATTTTTTGATTCTTGTAATTCTTTGAATTGATGAAATAAAATTTCTTTTTATTTTTCTTTTTTTAAAAAAAAAAAGTGGTAGGGTTGGGTGGTGGTTTTGGGTGGCCAATGGAGTTGAGTGGTGGGTTTTCGGTGGCCAGTGGGAGTTGAGTGGTGGGGTTTGGGTGGTGAATTTTTGATATAATACCAAACAAGTTTTTTATTTTTGTTTTTACAAATTTTCAAAAATATAAAGGACTACCAAATATGTTTTATATTTTTAATTTTTATCACAAAATAAACAACACTTAAAAAAAACATAAAAACAAAAATGTTACCAAACACACCTTAAATCAAGTCAAAACATTAACAATTATAATTTTAACATTATTTTTGTGTTAATATTACATCACGAATTTTGTCATTACAATAATATTTCAAACTTAAAAAGTATAAGTGTTACATGCCTACAAATTTATGAGGTTTGGGTATAATTTACTAATAAATATATTAACAGATATCAACGATATGGATTTGAGTATTACGCGTGTACAAACTTCAAATATATGTGTGTAATATTTCAAATGTATAAGAATTCAATTGATTAAGTAATTACTTTTTCGTCTATTTTTCTCCTAATTATAGAGTGATTAATTTTGATAATTTGGAAGGAAAGTTAATTCATTTATTTTTTTATCATTCTTATTTTTCTTCCTTACTAAATATGATATTTTATCTATCCCTCCAACTTTTTCATTTTTCTATTGTACCAAACAAAGCATTACTTTTTAATTATCGAGTTATGAATGGTAAAATGAACACTACAAGATTAATACTAACAGACCACATTAATAAACAAACAATTGCTATAATTAATAAAATATATTGAATTCAAATTGATTAGCAATATACACAAATATTAATCATATGATCTAAATAGAAGTAACTCAATTTACACCCCTAAATTTGTCATTGTTGTTTAGACACACTTCTTATGGGTAAGTTTTCGATACTAAAAAAATGGTATTTCAGTATTATACCAAGATCTTTCAGTATCATACAAAAAAAAATTATAACTGCTAAGTCTAAATTACAACATCTAAGAGTCAAGTCACCACTAGTGGTTGATTATAGAATGTTATAATTGGTCAAAAATAATTTTCAAAAGTAATTTGACTACTTTTTAGAATGTGTCACTTGACATTTATAGAATGTTGTAGACTGTCAAAATTTTTCGGAAGGATGGACTGAAATTGGACCAGGATATTGGGGTCCCGTTTAGTTTAGTTTGTGTTTTAAAAAATAATATTCAAAATTTGTTTTTAAAAAGTGCTTTAGAAAAATATTTTTAGTATTTTTTTTGTCGCAAAATTTATTTAGTTATATGATTTCAAAAACAGTTATATGAAATAGAAAATATTAAAAAATATTTGGATAATATTCTAGAAAATAATGAAAACATAAATGTGGTGATAGTGGTGTTTTTTAATTCTAAAAAGATTGTTTCAAAAATACACAAAATAGTTATAACTTGTTCTCTAAATTTACTCAATGGTTATTCTCAATTTTCAAAAAATAAAAACTAAAAACAATTGGCGAAACAGTTTTTTTCCAAAAATTATTTCAAAAAAATAAAAAAACAGTTTTTAAGATGCAAATTAACCAGAATCTGGTTCTGATCTGATAAAAAAAACCCAGAATCCGGTTGAAAATTCCACACAAGTGGAGACACTTTCTATGGTCAGTACAAAGTGACACGCTACTAACTAACCATTAATAGCCGCGAGATGAATGACATAGAGATTATAATTAAAGGTGGAATATTGAATATTTTAAATTTTATAATTAAATTTTATGTTTTATTATATTATTTGTTGCAATAAAAATAAAAATAAAAATATATATATTTTTTAAAAATCGTAATTAGTATATAATTTTAATATCTATTGGAATAAAACTAAAAAATTAAACAAATGATCTAAGTCATTCATAATAGAACATAAATTTTACAACTAAAATTCATTTTCTATTAAGTCATTTATTAAAATAAAATCAAAAATAAAAATCTATTTTTTTCTTAAAAAATTATAATTAAGATATAATTATACTATCTATTTGAATAAAACTAAAAAATTAAATAAGAGGTCAAACTATAATGAGTATAATATGTTATAACTTTAATTGGAGTAATTTGGTAGTTTAATTAAATTGTAATATATAGTATAATTGTATACTAGTTATGATTTTTTAAGAAAAATTAGATTTTTATTTTTGATTTTATTTCAATAAATGTTATGATAAAATATAAATTTTGGTTATAAAATTTAAAATATTTGAGATTTTATCTTTGATTAGAGTATTTTTTATATAAATATAATATTTTAAACTTAAGAGGTCTAATTATTAAAAATTTATAAATTTTAAGGGATTTGAGTGTAATTTACTAACGGATGTAAAAATGTATGTGTTGTGCGCGTACAAACTTAAGAGATTTATGTGTAATATTTTAAATATTAAGAAGTCTGAATGATTAAGAGACAAATCTCATGAGATCTGACTATAATTCTCTTTAGTAGTTAAACAAATTTATGATATCAAAATAGAATTATTTGTATCTGATATTAACTTAATACTATTATTATTTGTGTTTCATTATTAGAAAAAAAAAATTAGATCAGTATTTTAACTCATTATTGTGAATCTCATGAAATGTAGAGTTGTCTGTCTTACGTTTGGTAATCCTGTCCTGATTGTTTCTTCTTGTACTGTGTTAGACCAGAGAAGAGAACTAAGCATAAACGAAAAGAATCCATCAGCCTAACGTGCATTTTCTTCCACACTCCTATGCCATAGTAAGGCCTAACCCCACCCGTCATCCAGATCTTACAACTTCAGCCAATGTGCCCTCCACCTTCATAGTCATCCGTGCCAATCCACGGTCTATAACACCCACCGATTGCAAAACCATTTCCAACACCTCCACGTGTCATCTAAACATTGATCATGTATCACCTCATCACGTGGCAATATTTCGCCGCATAGGTAATTTCCTTTCTCAGTTCCTAAAAAAAAACGTAGCCTCTAAGTTTTGTGTTGACGTAGACGCGTTGGCCATCACGTGTGGGACACATGGCAGAGGTGACGCTGCTAAACCTAAACCCTGGATTTCCATCAACTTCTTTGCATAAGATAGGGAACCACCTATAAAAGGGGAAGTTGTAACAACGCTCCGTGTTGTCTTGTTTACGAAGTTTCGACAGACTTGTTTCTTCCATCGCTATATTTAAATCTCTGATCTTTCTCTCTCTTAATCTCTCCCTTTCTCTGCCGTTTGCGAAGCTTCTCTCCGGTGGAAAATGGCGGAATCAGAAGCCAATCAACCGACGGAAATCGTAAGCTCCTCTTTCAGTTCTGAAATCATCAGGCCTTCCTTCATATTAGGATTTAGTTATTGCATTTATATCTTACCTGATTGTTTGTTTCGTTTGATTTTGAATCTGTTTCTCTTGAATATTAGCATTACAAATATTCAATTAATGTTAAGTTTGTAATTGTATTGTGATTGGTCTTTGAGATTTTGTTAGGAGCTTTCGTTGACCTGCTTTTTTTTTTTCAATTGAAGGTCCAAGATAGTGAGAAGCAACTAAAGTATCTTGATTTCGTTCAAATCGCGGCGATTTACGTTGTCGTCTGCTTCTCAACCATCTACGACTATGCCAAAGAGAACTCAGGTCCGTTGAAACCCGGCGTTCAGACCGTTGAAGGCACTGTCAAAACTGTCATCGGACCGCTTTACGAGAAGTGTCACGACGTCCCTTTCGAGCTCCTCAAGTTCGTCGATCGCAAGGTTTGAATCGAACTCCACATCGCAACCGGCGTATATTACCGTTTTCGTCGTATTCTCGTGAATTCCCTGTTCCTGATTTCGTATTCACGTGACTTACAGGTGGACGAGTCGATAAACGAGTTGGATCGTCACGTGCCCTCTTTAATGAAACAGGCTTCGAGCCAAGCCATGTCTGTGGCTCAGAAGGCTCCAGAGGTGGCTCGAACCGTGGCTTCGAAAGTACAGCGCGCCGGTGTTGTCGACACGACCACGAACATAGCGAAGACGGTGTACACCAAGTATGAGCCGACAGCCAAAGAGCTGTACACGAAGTACGAGCCGGTAGCTGAGCAGTACGCGGTGACCACGTGGCGCTCATTGAATCGGCTTCCGCTGTTTCCTCAAGTGGCTCACATCGTGGTCCCAACGGCGGCGTACTGGTCGGAGAAGTACAATCAGGCCGTGACTTCTACGGCGGAGAGAGGATACACGCTGTCTTATTATCTGCCGCTGGTGCCCGTTGAGAGGATCGCCAAGGTGTTTGAGGGTGCTGAGAATGGGCCCACTGTTTCGACCAATGAGGAAGCTGCTGCCATGGCGCAGTAAAAGGAGTGTAATGGTGGTGATGAAGTGTTAAAAAAAAAAAATGATGATGGTTTTTTTTTTGGGGTGAGGTTTGGTAGGGTTTCACATCTATACTGTGTAATGTAATTTCCTTGTTTGCTTGCTTGCTTGCTTCTGTTCTTTAAGGTGATCACAACCCATTTTGTTGTTTTGGGTATTTGTTATTAGTCTATGTCTATATCACCATAACATAAATCTACTTGGGTTCTATATGACATGAAATAGAGAGAGTGCTTAGGATTATTTGATGGTTGAAGTCATGCGTGCTTTGTTCAAATTTTCCGGGTTTGTTTGGAAATTGGAGTTGTGTGCATTAAGTGGTGAATTCAGAATAGAGAATCGGTAACTAATAAATAAGGAAAATGTTATTTGGACCAAAAAATTTGATATAATTTGTTGACCTAATGACATGGTTTCATTGAAATTATTGGATTAATTCTAAACTTCAATGTTCGATGGAACTCACAGTCAATTTAAAGGATATAGTAAATTAGGTATCAATAGTATTACTCAATAAACAATAAGTTGGATAAGACTCGGACTATTTTAGGCTGTTTTTTTGTGTTACACTTTAGTAATTTGATAGGACACAAACAGGGAGGAGTAATTATAACAAGGGAAATTCCATAGATGCATTTCTAAAGTGATTGTGCTTTAAAATATGATGGTGCCAAAGAGAAGTAAATCTCTTAACGAGCACAAGACAGAATTTTGTAAGAGGTGTTAGTCACAGAATTGGCTCACCTTTATGTGTGTTTGTAGTGAGACCGTTATTAAGGGATGCAGGTTAATCCTAAATAGAACATTCATGAAAATCAGGATACTTGTGCATGGTTGTAAGAGCGCAAAATTGATTAAAATTTTATCTAATGCTCATATCTTGTGTGTGACAAGTAGAAATGTGAACCAAAGAGCCTAATTCAAGATTGGTTCTCTATGATTCTTTAGATGGAATCACGGAAACTAGTTAACGCTAAATGAAGGTTCAAATCTAAAAAACGCTTATCACCTATTGCAGGGAGATTGTTAATATGTATGATTTAAATTTAAATTTACTGTCATTTATTCATATTAATAATTTCAACCCCACATTTATTTTATAACTTTAAATATTTCAATTTTGATTGTTGGAATTCTTTAGAGAGAGTTACATGTAATAACTACATATATTACACCACTTCATTATGTATATGTATGTGTGTGTGTGTGTGTGACTGTTGCATATTCAAGCCATTTACTACCATTATATGCACCAGGAGTAATGGGAAGCAGTAGGTTAATGTCAAGTAGGATAATAGTTGGACTTTGACATACTACCATCTGGAACTTATCTTCCTTGTTCTTTCTATTTCACAGGGCAGCAGGCGTAAAAACATGTGTGGTTTACCATTTCAACCACTTGTGTCTCTCATTTCTTTATTGGTTTCCACTTCTTTCTCGGCTATGCCATTCTGTGATTCTTGCCTCCTTTCATTTGTCTCAATGCTTTTCATACCCTATGCCATTGCTTGAATTCTATATGGGATCAACAACAGAATCTATATACTTTACCTCTCTGTATGGGATAAACATACATGTAGCAAAACTTCCTATAGAATATGCCTCTTTGTTCTCAAGTTGCGAGTGAACTATCTCAGTACTTATACTTGCACCACTTTGACCATTCTGGACTTTGGTGTTGCTCAATCTATTTTTAACATACATGGGATACAAGCAGAGTTAGATTTGCTTGCATGAAAACATGCTTACAATAGGATTTCTATTGTAATGTACCTACTGGCACACAAAAGCACTATTTTTTATTTCTGGGAATTAAAATAAGCTTGTAGATAATTGTCAAAAAATATGTGATTGTATTGGAAGAAAAGACATGGGATGTGAAGCACTCATGGAAGATAATGTTAACCAATATATATAATCAGAATTTGAATTACAACTAATTACTGTAGCAAAACTATATTTAAGTATACTGTTATATGTAAAACAGTTATAAAAAATAAAATATATTCTATACATAAATAATGCACTTACTTGATTGCAGAACAACAATATGAAAATAATAACAATTCGAGTCATATCTCTGTTCTCAAGTTAAAACAGATTTGCTCTTTCTCAGTACTCAAGATTGACGAACATTTGTCTCCCAAAATACAACGAATTTCGTCTTTGTAGAAGTAGTACTTCAACCTTTAAAGATCAATGAACACAACTTATTTTTTGTACTTGAACCAAATATAAAATATAATGCAGAAAGACAGAAACAGATGCAACACTATGCAAAAACCCTATCAAATATACTAACTTGAGTTTTTGAAATTGTATCTTCTCGATTTTTCAAAAGTTCTCTTGGCCGTTAAATGAAAGAAACAATCACATAAAATATAAATACACCAACTAAACCCTAATGTGAAGGCCAGGTATGATTTTGGAACTATAAGAGTTGCTTATAATTTTTGTGAGTTGTTTGGCTTTTGATTCCCCCATTTTGTACCATAGAAAAGCTTCGCAAAAGGCAAATAAAGGGCGAAATTAAGAGAGAGAAAGATAGAGATTTATATAGAGATCAAATAAACAACTCTAATGAAACTTCGTAAAAAAGGCAAAACGTGGCGTTGTCAATTTAGGTTAAATGAAAGGGAATCTAGGGTTTAGGTTTAGCAGCGTTACCTTGATAAGCCCTAAATATTGCACATTTATCCTATCATTTGGGGCTAATTGTCATATGTGACTTAATTGTATGTGATTAATGTTATATTTAATTTTATCATTTGTCTATTTTGCTGGTAAAATAGTGAGGTTATAAGGCAAATAAGCAAACATGGAAGTGAGATAAGAAAGAAGATTGAAGATTGAAGAATTGAAGGCCACATTTGAACGTCAATTGTCTAAGTCTGGACGTGAGATTCTATATCAAAGGCAAAAATAGGTTGAGTTTCCGGTATTTGACATTCGGGCATAATTAAAGTCACGTCCGAACGCATGTTGAACCTACTATGACGTCTAGATGTCATAAAAGTCAAGTCCAGACACGTGTTTTTACTCCCAGCCAATCAAAAAAGCATGATAACGCAAGAAGGAGATCTTTTTCCTCTTTTGTAAAGTACCGTGGGACTTTCTAAGGGAGTTTAGGGTTATATCAGACCAAAAAATTTTGTATTAAGATTAATTTGATGATTTCTTCCTTTTTCATGGCTAGCTAATCTCTTTTGCTAAGGTTAGAGGAAGTTCTAATACACTTGGATATATAAATTAGAGCATATGTTCTTCATTTGAGGTTTTCTTTAATAATTCAATTATTCTTATTTTAACAAAGCTTTCTCTCTATATAATCTCTTGAAATATTATGCTATATATGTGATGAATTCTTGAAATTCCTTATGAGTTGAATAGCTAGATGTACATGTTTTGGTTGAATTGCTGGAATTTTCATTTAATTAATTAATTTGTTGGTTTTTATGAATTTGGGTGTTTGATTGTTCAATTGCTTGATTTATCATAGATTTCGGATATGGTGAATGTTTGTAATTGACATGTTTGAATTCATTTATATTAACTTTTTGATTATACATTAGAGAATTTCCTAATTAATTATTGTCAAATCTTCCAATTGGGTTCACTCCTTAGTTTATTCCCAATTGAGATTGAAAAATAGGATGAATTTGCTATCCAAGTATAATTAAAATAGTATTCAATTCCTTAGTATTTCTCCCAAATCATTTTTACTAAATAATTTTAGTTTATTTGCTCCAAGTTCCAATTACCAAATCACTCTTTCAAACATTTACATATTTTCTTTTATTAATCATTTTTAACACTCCAAAATTCTCATTTCTCTATGGATCGACCTTGGACTCTACCAAGATTTACTACTTGCTTGATAACCTATATTTGAGTTTATAATTTCAAAGGCGAAATAAGTTTTTATTATTTTTATTGATATTAATTAGTTTTTATTGTGGATCCTTTATGAGAATGAACAATTTAATTAGTTGACATTTTTGTGTTTAAATGAGAATAAAATCGAGTTTGAGAGAAGTATAAAATATATTTGATTTATTTTTATTTGTGGAAGAGATAGAGATGCATATTATATTTTTTTATTGAAGTGTTAACCTTTTTTTCTAACATTTAATAAATGTGTATGTATGAAGTAGACTGTACTTTTAGACCTAAATTCTAAATTTTATTTTTTTGACTTAATCTTTTAGAATTTTTTTTTGTTAAATTAAATTGTAATGGGCTTTAATTTTTGATCTATACTTCATTATTAAACATCAAATTTTGTAGCCTTTATATGTGTGAGGCCTAAAGCCTATACTTTTTCGGTTTTATTGTTGAGTCGGCCATGATTGTTTTGACAGATTATTTAATGGCCAACCTCCGGCCGTTGGAGCTAAGCCTCATGGGTTTGAACCTCACCCAACCCTCCCCATGTAAACACTATTCAAATAAAAATGAATAATCTCTATGGGAGGAATCGGTCTGCATATAGCCTAGCAAGTGTCGGTAAGCAAAAATTTGATGGTTTTATGGAACTAATTGTGCCATGTGGTGTAATAGGTCCTATGCTAAAGTGTTCATATATAAAGCCAACACCTCTTTCCTAAGACTAACAATGTGCCACGTGTTTTTGTACGTGAATAATTTCTATATATAAAATATTAATAAAAAATATTAGGTATATGTGTATTTAAGTTAAATATCATCTCAAATTTATCAAATTTATGTTTTTATCAATTGTATTATATTATAGAATTCAAAAAAAATTGTTTGTCTCTAATGATTTATTATTCTAACCGTCTATTAAGCTCTTTGACAGAAATAACCACAAGTGATTACTTCTGTCAAAAACTTAACAGATTGTTTGTAGAAAATACCACATAATCCAAATAAAATTCAAAAATTAAAACTCAAATGAATATTATTCCTTGGATGAGTGTGAGATGAGTGGATCCCACTGAAAAAATTGATGGGATCCACTCATTCAAAGGATGATATGCATTTGGGTTACAACTTTTTAGATTTTATTTGGGTTTTGTAATATTGCTCATAAATAAATGTATTTTATAATAAATACTTATTCAAGTGTCTGGTATTTTAGATATTTAAGAGTGTTAGAGGATAAAAGAGGGAAATAAATATTTTTCCAATATGTGTACATTTAGAAGTAGTATAGATTTATCCTACCTCTTTAGACATTTGCACATTTAATCATATTATAAAATTATTAATTTTTATTTGTTAAATCGATTGATTAGATAGCTTATAATATTATTATACTATTACATATAAAAAATAAAGTATAAACATATATGCGACAGTGAAATTCAACCTAATAAGTAC